AAAAATTATCCGCGCAATTTTTTTTTATTTGTAATTTAATTATTGGAAACATTCAAAAATTGTTGAACGTCGGCTAATTTTATTTTCATAAAATTTTGGAGATTTGATGAAAAATAACAAAGCCCTGCAATCAGCCCTCAGCCTCAGAGATTTGCCAGTGGTACAAATAATTACCCAGAATAATCAATAGCAGCTGTCTTACACATGTTTACATAAACAATCAATATCTTAATAACGTGTTGTCATGTCATAGACCGTGGTGGTATAATAATAAAGTTGATCTGGGTTTAGCTCATTCCGTTTAGGCGGAGTGTATAGTAGCAGTCCACCATTAAAACCATTACCGCGTCGATTCCTCCAGTAACAGTGTGTGCGAATGTGCATTGTATTTCACTGACAATAGCAATTGCACAAACCCATCGGGGATTTACCCGTGGTTGTTATACCTCTTGACGTTTCCCGCGCCAGAGAATGTGAAACTTCTCTTGACCTTGACCTGCGCACTCTCGCGACCGATAAAATGGATACAAAATCAATGCGAACAGCCGACCGACCAGATAGTGTGACGCACGTTGTTATACTTGTCTATATTATTTTTCACATAAATAATAATAATAATTATTATTATTCCTAGCGAGCGATCCAATCCTTGATCTCCAACCCTAAACTTCAACTTCTATTTCAATGGTAAATCCTCGTCATAATTAATCTCAATGAAAGTGAGCTCTTTAATGAAAATTAAAAAGCTCACTTAACTACCAATCGTCAAATAAAAATTCACTTGGCAAATAATTAAGCTTATTAATTTTTAAAAAATCTAAATCAGTCGGCAAGGTCGGTGTCTAGAAATTATTTTCGCTTATAATTACACGTAATGTAATCTATTATGAAAACGCATCAGAATCCTGCCAAGAATAAAAAAATTAAATTTGAATATAAATGAAAATGCGAATTTAAAAATAGATAAATATAAAATAAAAAAAAAAAAAGTTTGTACTTGCATGTTGTGTAGAATTGAGTCTACTTAAATTTTCATTGCAACTTAAATAGGACAGCCGATTACAGTGATGATAAAAAGCCTGGCGTTTAACTAAAGACAAAATTCATAAGCGCATCAAGAGGGTCAAAGGACAACTGGCCATTTAACCACTACATGCCTTGTAAACTACCGAGGACTGAGGACTGGAAACTTTAGCTAAAACTCTGGCTCAGAATTAATTACCAGGACCCAATATTTATTGTTATTGAATCCGTTATCGCTATCGCTAATTCTTACGGCTAAACATTACATCTGATAACTCAGCGCGTAACAATACTTATATATGGTTAAAAATAAGGAAAAAAAACTTACATTTTTCCTTGGTCAGCCATTCGTTTTCGCTGGTGTTACTTTTGCCTTGTCCTCGTTCGCGTCGTCGCGTTCTTTGATGATGGTGATGTTGCTGCTGCCGATAATTATGATGATACTATACGGTTGATGTTGATACTGATGACGTTGATGACGATGGTGATACAGCTGACTGGTTATCAGATGACACAGGTGACTTGACTCGATATTTAGGCCGCTCAATTTTTATTATTTTAATTGCAATGCCAATAAAATAATAACGAGTATGATGAAGATGTTGGCGGTGATGATGAAAACACCGCGAAACTCAAACGTCACTTGATAACAAAGCCTGGCAAATGGAACACAGCATGTTACAGAGTTTACGGAGTACAGTCGACAACCGGTACACAGGTGACAGGAAACAGCGTGCGCGGTTATTTACTCGTTATAATTATAAATATAAATAGATCTACAACAATAGTTATTATTAGTAAGGTAGATCGGAGGCGATGGTGACAATTGTTAAATTATAAAATAAAATAAAATAAAATAAATATATAATTACAGTAGGCCTTGATTCTTCAGACAATTTTTTAGGCGACAGATTTATTTTATTTAGTTTGTATTTACTGATTTACTCGTTACTCGTTACACTAGCACATATGAGGACACTAGATCAATACTCGAGACGTGGGGGCAAGACTCGCTACGAGTCAACCCGAAAAACATTTTTTATTTTTATTACTCTCTTATTATTTTTCTCCAAGTGTTGGTGTGTCTCATTGATTGTTGACGACAACGACGTCCTACGACCAGCACTAACGATTCTACAATCTCAAATATGGCCGAAATGTCATCTAGCGGAGAAACGAAGAAATATTTTAGTGGCGCGAAAATTTTAATTTTAATTATTTAAAAATTTTAACGGGGGAATCCATGTAAAATTTTGAAAAAATCAATTTTTTTTTTTTTTTTTTTTTTTTTCAATAATCTGAAAATATCCCAAACGTCAAAAAAAAAAATGTTGACTTTTTATGACACTAAAGTTAGCAGACGTCTAAAAATTTTTTAATTTTTTTTATTAATTAAATTACAACTAAAAAGATATTTATAAAAAATTGCACTGATAGTTTTTCAAGTTTTTTACATGTGAAATTTTTTTTTTTTAATTGTTTAATTGTAAATTTTTTCTAATAAAAAATTTCTAAAGATTTTGAAATGCCGGTTAACTTTATTTTCTATATCCATGATGTTATTATGTCCTTGTTCCAACTTTTGAAGATGACACTAAAGTTAGCAGACGTCTGAAAAATTTTTAAATTTTTTTATTAATTAAATTACAACTAAAAAGATATTTATAAAAAATTGCACTGATAGTTTTTCAAGTTTTTTACATGTGAAATTTTTTTTTTTTAATTGTTTAATTGAAATTTTTTCAATAAAAAATTTCTAAAGATTTTGAAATGCCGGTTAACTTTATTTTCATATCCATGATGTTATTATGTCCTTGTAAATTTAAATTAAAGATGAATATCGGGAAATAAGGACCATCATATGTGGAAAAAGTTTTTTATTATTCTTGCCAACGTTTCGTCAAAATTTCTTGACTTCTTCAGGGCTCTACAATTTATTTTCATACTTTTTGGGAGATTTTATTTAACAAGAAATCAGAAATTTATAATTGTCAACTTAAATTTAACAAAACATTAACAAAAAAAATTTGTACCGCTTGGGATAGTACGTTGAGCTAAAATCTCGAATATTGACGAAATTTTATAGCTAATATAATGGAGCGGGCTGGAGTGCGTATTGTAGTGCGTACTATAACTTTAAACGCGATTATCTCGAAACTGTATTTTGATAAACTGCTCGTGTTGTAGCTCAAAAAGATATTGATCGATTTATTTGAAATTTGGTTACACTGAAAAAAAAGTTTTTTTATACCCGGAATACTGAATATTTTTTAGTCGAGTTTTCTTGTACGCAGTAAAAGTCAAATTAAATATTTTAGATTTAAGAAAACTCGTATTTTAAATCTGAGAATACCAAGTTTTTTAACAGGACTAAAACTAAATTCTAAAACTAAATTCTCGTGTTTTTTAGTTATTAGTTTACCTCGTGCCTGAGTCTACTTACCTAAATATTTATTTGTGTAAATTAAATAATTTATGAATTATAAATAAAAGTATTAATCATTAATATTACTTCCCCTTACTCCCTTACTTATATGGATTCTTAGATGCAAAAGAAGTTGTCAGAGTGGAATTTATCATCTCCAACAAATTTATAACTCATTTTAGCAATACATTTTTTCCTTATAATCAATTTTTATAATAAGGTAAAAAACCCAGTTATTTTTACTGGCCTAGTTGTTTGACACTTACAATTTTATTCTAATTAAAAAAATAAAATGTTCTCAAAAAACCAATTATCTTAAAATTTATAATTCAAATATAATGTTTATTAAATTATTAGAGTTGATTTATTTTTTTTAATTAAAATAAAATTGCAAGTGTCAATAACTAGGTCTTTTACCTTAGTGATGTTATTAGTAAATTAGTAAAATAATGCTATTAGCAAGAAATTGAAATTTTTTGACAATAAGAATTAAAAATAAGAAAACAAAAGCTTAATATACTATTTTCCATTTTTATTAATTTTAGTGTGATAGATTGTTTATAAATGAAGAATTATAAAAAGTATAGTTTCTCATAATTATCTATCCTAAAGATTCGTGTCGACCAAGCAAGGTTAACTCGGCTATATTGATTGTAGTTATTTTAATAATGAGAATACCAAGTTTTTTTATATCCAGTAAACTTATTCCTATGGATAGTAAACTTTGGTATTCTTATTTTAGGAATACTTTTTTTTTAACCACAGGGAAAAGTTTTCTAGGAGGAAAAAAACTTTTTTTTCAGTGTAGGACTTTCTCTATATTACAATCAGAACGATAAACCAAAAATTTCAGATATTTTGCGTTGATAAAAGACTTTTTTGAGGTCAAAAAAATAGCCCCAAATTCTGACTTTTTTGTCAAAGGATTATTTTATATTGAATTTTATACTTTTTTTTTAATTTTAAAGATTTATCCTTTCCGTTAATATGTTCTAAAAAGAAAACACTTTAATTTTTTTGTTTCAAATCAATAGTTAATGAGTGATAAGTAGAGCAGTTTGGGACCTCGCGTCAGAGACAACAAACAAAAAATTATTCTGAGCCGCCATTTTGAAAGAAAAAAAAATAAAAATTACATTTGTACTCTAGAAAGGTTTAATAAAGCTGTGTTAAAGTTTAAAAACAATAAGATTATTTTATCACCTTTAAAAATATTTTTAAAAAATGACTGATTTCGAGGCATTTACATGAACTTCCCCCGTAAAACTTTAAATTTTTATAATAAAAAAAGTTATTAAAATTTTATTTTAAAAATAAAAAAATCTTGTTTGTAAATTTCAAATTTTTTATTTAAAATTTTTTAAATATTTAAATTTAGTTATAATTCCCACCACTAGTGGCGCGCACTTCAAATTTTTAATTTCACGTGTAGTAACTTCTAACCTTTCACATAAATAAACACAAAAAATATGTTACTAATAAAAAATAAATTTGTAAATAAATAAATGTAAATATAAATACAAATAGTGATTAAATATATAAAAAAAAAACTATGCAAGTGTTGAACCGCTGTGTAAATATTAACTACCAATTAAATTTTCCAATCTTGATCAACATAAAAACTTTATTTGTGGGACAACTGTCTTCAAAAGGTGTAGTGGGTCCAGGCAACACCAAGACTTTTTACAAAATGCATGAAGCTTACATTCGTTACACCTCCGGGACCGAAGTGTTCGACTTTACGTTCCGCTTCTCAAGACCGGATCTAAATATTGACAAGCAGTTGAATTTTTCCAGAAAAGTTTCTGAGAATGTTGAGACTTTTCTCTCCAGAGTCAGCAGCAACGTCACTAAACATATGACCACCAAGGCCAAGAAGAAGGCAAAAAAAGCTAAAGTGGCTCCTGGGGAAGAAGAAATAAAAGTGGACCATGTCAAGGAAGGAAATATTTACTTGTCAAAAGGTGACAGTAAACTTAATTTAGACGAACCTTGCACTAATTTTCTTACAGATCCGTCGGAGCTGAAGCTGGTAGTATTCGACCAGAAGTACGATGTCAAGCTCAACGCGCCCTGGATAATCAAGATGAAGCTGCCTTCGTGTTTGCTGGCGAATTTTCCAGTTTACCCTAGTGAGTTCGAGTCAATGTACGTGGACAGAGGCTTGTCAGTTTTCACGTGGCACAAATCAGTGTACGATGAAAAAATGAAGCTATCATGGAAGTTAATCGGAGAAGGCTTTCTGTACAAACCAAGTGCTGAAGATATAGGCTCCAAGTTGAAAGTCAAATGTCTGCCTCGCAATGACAGGCTTGAAGGGTCAGAAACTGAAGTTGACTCGGATACTCTTGTCGAAGCTGGTCCTGGAGAGTGTCCATTTGAAACGCGACACAAGTTCACCAGCAATAAATTGTCTGGAGATTCTTTCAGGGTTACTTCTTACAATCTTTTAGCTGATACGTACGCGGATTCAGAGTACTCAAGGGCTGTTTTGTTTCCTTATTGTCCACCTTATGCTCTGAATATTGATTACCGCAAGCTTTTAATTATCAAAGAGTTGATAGGTAATTAATTTAATTTAATATAATAATATAATAATTAATGATACACTGAAAAAAAAGTATAAGTCGTATCGCAATACGTTTAACAACCGATCCCTACGATTGCAGCTTTATATTTCTCTCCTAGACAAAGAAGAATTTTGAAAAAAAACGCGCTGCTACGTAATAGATTTTTTAATTTCCTATTTCGTAGCAGAGCGTTTTTTTTCGAAATTTTCATTTTATTACAAGAAAAACATAAAACTGCAATACAGCTTCCCAATTTTAAAACACAGTAACTGCAAAATTTTTATACCTATTTTTTTCTAGTTGTGCTGCATTTTTTACAACTTTAAGATCTTAATTTCAAGTATTTTTTTGCTAAAATTATTTACATTCAAGTATTTTCTATTCATAAATCAAATTTTTCATCAATTTGGCGGGCAGACTTTTTTTTTAATAAGAAAAATTGACAAAAATTTTTAAATGTTAGTTACTGTGTTTTGAAATTGGGCAGCCGAATAGCTTTAAAAACACCAGTGCTATAAGGATAGTACCATTTCTTGCAGTGCGTGCGACGCGAAAAAAAAGGGAATCTGCTGTTATTGAGCGTATAGCTTATATAAATGGCGCATTTAACATGGGTATAAGCTATACGCTTAAACTTATTGCGATAGGACTTATACTTTTTTTTCAGCGTAATGAAAATTAAATTAGCAAACATCTAAAAATTTTTAGAATTTTTTTTATTGAAAAAATTATTACAAAAAAAATTTTTTTTTATTTAATTTGTAAAAAATTTTAAAAACTGCAAGTGCAATTAAAAAAAAATATTTTTTAATTCTAATTTAATAAAATGAAACAAAACCAAAAAATTAATAAAATCGTCGGCTCTCTACAGTATTATTTAATGATATTGAAATTAGCAATCTGACAATTTTTTTAATTAACAAATCAATTGTAATAAAAAAAATATTTTTTTTCATTCTCACTTGTAATTTTTTTCATAATAATTTAATTGTTATATAAATCTAAAAAATTGTAATGAATTTTAGTTTATTAAAATTTAAATATTAATTTTTTTTCAGGATATAATTCAGATATAATGTGCCTTCAAGAAGTAGACAAAAAAATCTATGATAATGATTTCCTGCCATCTCTATCATCGGTGAATTTTGACGGAGTTTTCAATGCCAAAAGAACGACTAGTGAGGGACAGGCCACTTTGTATGACACCAAAAGATTCGAAATGTTGAGTTATAAAGGAATTTCAATGGCTGATGGCATAGAAAAGAATCTAATTTTTAAAAAGACTTGGGACAAAATAACTAATGAAAATGCGCGAGTGAGATTCAAGGATCGAAGTACCTCAGTGTTGGTAAGGAATTTTTTTCTTGGTATATTTCATGACTCTTATTAAAATCTAAGTATTGATGACTGAAAATTATTACTCAGATAGTCACATTGAGATCTCGGGATAATCCTAAAGAAATTCTAGTGGTGGGAAACACCCATCTTTACTTCCATCCAGACGCAGATCACATTAGATTACTGCAGGCTTACTTCGCCTTGACTTCGTGCCAAGCCACTGCAGATGAAATTCGCCAGCAGGTATAGTATAAATTATCTGGAAGAAATTCACTCATTGTTAGTGGTTATATATAGAGCTCATATCAGTATTTTATTTAAAAATAAAAAATTTATATCAGTATCCCGAGCACAATGTGACCGTAATGCTCTGCGGGGACTTCAATAGCACTCCCGTTGATGGAGTTTACGAGTTTATAACCAAAAACGCTATACCAGAAACTCACAAAGATTGGACTTCAAGTAAGATTATTAATTTATAAAAATATTAATCTTAAAAATTTATAATAAAATATTTTAACAAATTATCAAAAAAATTAAATTTTTTTTTTTTTTAATAAAATTTTAAATTATTGAAAGTATATTAAAATAAAACTAAAAAATTTCAGATTCTGAACAGGTAGTAGAAAACGTCTCAATTTCTCACGATTTGGCTCTGCAAAGCGCTTGTGGAACTCCAGAGTACACAAACTTTACAGTAGGATTCGCAGATTGTTTGGATTACATTTTCTACGAGACAAACAAATTGGAAGTGAGCCAAGTAATTCCCATGCCAAGTAAAGAAGAACTTTTATTAAACCAAGCAATTCCATCCGTAGTATTTCCCAGTGACCACATTGCTATTTGTGCTGATTTAAAGTGGCATTCACCATCATCGTCTGTATCACAATAATAATAAAAATACTTATAAATAATGTAATTATAATATATTTAATAACTTTTTTATCTGTCTTTTAGAAACAGTACCTAAAAAGATTAGTATGAAAATTAATAAATACATTTGTAAATTTTATTTGTCCATCGTTGATAATTGCATTTAATGTGGTTTATAATTATAATAATTGAGTTTACATTCAATTGAATTTTTAATTAAATATAAGTTACAATACAATGTAATCAACGTGTACTTTGTTTTTGTTAAACTAATTCGAATTAATTTACATATCTTATTTACAAACCATTCGTTCTTTTAGATTTAATTTTCGATTGTAATGGAGACTGCTTATAAATGTCGCGTGTTTTTATTTCATTGATTAATTCAATAATATTGATAATAATAAATAACAATAAAAAATAAAAAAGAAAAAAACAAAATTTGATTATCGTCAAACTTAAGTAGATAAAAAAAACATTAAATCTCCATTACTTGTGAATATAAATGAAAAAAAAAAAAATATATTAACTTTTTTTTTTTATGATTTAGTATATTAAAAAAAATATAACGCGTCTTTTAAATAATGAAAAGCTAATTGTACGAAATTAGTTAAAAGTTTATCTAAATACACTTACGCATTATCCATAAAAATAATGATTAATATTAATAATTACATACTGATAACATTTGATAATCATACTGACCCGGTGCTTACCAAATCAACTATCGCAATTAAATATCTTTTAAAGATAATACATGTGAACGATTAAGATTCACTGTCAAGAGGACAGTAATTTAAGGAAAATCATAAAATAAAAGAAAATAAGATCAATTATAATATAAAACAGTGCCTAAAAAGGCATTTAAACAATTTAAGCTCCAGATTAAATGCCTCTTCTCGGCGCGCTGGGGGTCAGCAACTGGACCGCTGTCATTGCGTCGGGGAACAATGAGTGGTAATTTATGAGAGGCACGTAAGCAGCAGTTATGACTCGTCCGGCGAACCATCGCCCGTGAAGAGAATTAACTGCTGCGACTGCGGTGGCGATTGACGGACATTTTACGTAGACGTTGCCTTGAGGTGAGGCCTGGTCCAGGTACACATGAAATACTCCTCCGTGTTTATTACACTCTTCTATTACATCGTCGCGAATTTCTCGCGCCCAATTTGGATTTGACTCACTGTAAAATAAAATTTTTTTATTAGGATTAATTTTTTACTAGTCAAAATTAAATTGAAAAATATTTTCAAGTGTCACGTTATCATCGTTCGTAGATAAAATAATTAAAACGATTAGTAGATAGTAACGTAGTTTTATTTTGCATAGTTGTCCCCCTAGCATGATATGGCGTTTCATCATACCAGGTTTTTTTTAACATGCTAATTATGATATTAAAAAATGATTAAATATTATTATTTTTTTTTTAATTTAGAAAAAATACTCTCGTATATTTTTTTATTTTCTACTTGAGTGTATTTCTCATTTAAAAAAAAGTTTTAGTTTTAGTTTTTTTAAAGTTATAAGTCACTTGACCAGTTTTTGATTTTTTTTTAACAAACAAATTTTTTCTAAAAAATTATTAAAAAAAAAATTTTTTTCTCATTTCTTATGCCATAATTTATTTGTTAAAAAAACTATTAAATATCTGCTCAATTAATTTTGACTCTCCTGGCTTCCAATAAAAATAAATAAAAAAAAAATCTTACTTTTGTGGATCGAACATATTAGAGAGCATGAAACACTGGGTAGCAATAGGCGGAGCTGGTTGCTGAGCCGGCTGAGGAGCAGCAAGCGTCGGAGCCATATTCAGCGCATTAGCAGCAGCTGGTGGTATCTCTAACCCGGTTCCTTCAGCCAACTTGAACATCAATTGCAGCCTTCCAGTGGCACCAAGGTCAATGCCACTGCGATCAAGTTCATCAGTATCGAGAAGGGAGTTTCCTTGCATGAGGTCAGTCCTTTCCGTGACATTACCAACTTTCATCGGTCTGCCAGCCAGCTCGAACCCGTTCAGCTGCTCAAGTGCTTTTTTGGCGTCGTCAGAGTTTCTAAATGTCAAAAAGCCGTAGCCTTTGCTGCGACCAGTTTCGGGATCCATGATCAACTGGATGTTGTCAATTTTGCCAAACGGCTCGAAGATACCGCGGAGCATGTCTTCGGTGATATTGAAATGCAGCGAGCCAACGTAGAGTCTCATAGGCCCGGTCTGTCCTTTAGGCATTAGATTTGGCATTGAATTGCCCATGCGATTCTTTTCGGCTTGTGTGTGCTGTACGACAATGGGAACTCCCAAAAGCTTTTGACCAGACAACCCGAGAGCCAGAGTTACACTCTCTGGATCTTTGAATTCTACATAAGCGATACCTTTGAACCGCCGGGTCTTGTTACACGTGATCAATCGAACGTCTTGGACTTTCCCGACGCTCGAGAAGAATTCTTCCAGATCACGCGCTCTAATACGTTGGCTCAACTGCATACAGAACACTGTACGTGCATCGCGTTCTTCTGGAGTCAACTCATCATTTCGTCTGATGAAAAAAAATTTATTTTAATTAATATTAAATTCAAAATTTTAATTAAAAAAATTTTTTAAATTACATTAAAATAAATTAAAAAATTGAATTAAAATAAATTAAATTAAAAAATTAAATAAAAAAAATACTTACAATCCCAAAGGACTGACACCTTTTCCAAAAGGCCGAGCTCTAGGCAATGTAAGTGGCGTCAAGGACCTCTTCCTTCTGCGATCTCGCGCATCTCTGTCCCGGCGATCACGATCACGTTCCCGGTCTTTTTCCTTATCCTTCTCCTTATCTTTATCCTTATCATCGAGATCCCGGTCCTTCTTGTCCCTAGACCTGGACCTGCGTTTCTTGTCTCTGTCACGATCACGCTCGCGGTCTCTTTCTCGCTCCTTCTCCCGCTCACGTTCTCGTTCGCGCTCTCGCTCGCGATCTCTGTCCCTGTCTCTGTCTCTGTCGCGGTCACGATCTCGGTCCCGGTCCTTGGTCCTGTCCCGATCTTTTTCTCGATCGCGGCGGTCTCGCCGGTCCCTCGACCGGGAGCGCGACTTCGATCTGTGCTTGTTTTTCCTGAAAAAATACAGCTAATTAGTATACCAGTAATACGATTAAAAAAATTTATTATATATAAATATATAATTAGATTTTTTTTTCCAATGGACTAAACTCCCAGCTGGTTTTATAAACTCATATTACTTCGAGTCCAGTCAGTAAACCGTGAGCCGGCTATTTTAAAATAACATAAGATCGGCCCATTTTTAAATACAAACTCGATACAAATTCGAGTTCATCGGCAATACTCACCATCACTTGGTAATACCGTTTGGAATTATCGAAATAAAGCGGCAATTACACTAACTGTACGGTGTCTATAACAAAGAGAATATAAACTTTCGAGTGACTGTCACGTCAAAACTTTTTTTTTTTTTGTCTTTTTATAAATTAAATTTTAAACGCGAGGACTTTTAAAAAATTGTTAGATCAAAATAAATTTTATCTTTAATTTTTTTTTTGAATAAATAAAAATAAAATAAATGAAAAAAAACTTACCGAGATGATGTTCTGCTTGACCCATTTTCCTTGGACCTGTCTTTGGATGAGGAGTCCTGCTCCTACGAACAGCAAACAGTTGAATGCCATACCGCCAGCCAAGTTGGCAGGGACGCGCGAACAAGGGGACAAAAAGCAAATCAATTCAAGTTAGTTTTTTAAATCAAATATAAATGTATAACTTTAATTAAACTGGTAATATTTTTTTTTCTTTCATCAAAATAAAGATTGATTTTTAATGACTGAAATATGTTTTGATAATTATCAAGACTTAAGACTCCTTAAGTCGTGAAAGAAAAAAACGCAGGTGACTTCTTAAATTAACGGACATGATAATAATATACATATATATATATATATATTTATAAAAATATATATCTTAGTAGTACAGTTGTTTTGCGTGTTGTCGGGGAAGAGGAGCGGCAGATTGCCCGTATCGTTTGCACGTTTGTATTTGCACCATGCAAAACCCGGCTAAAACTTACCAATCAATCTGTTTATTCGGGTATTAGGAAAGCATTGCAATCTTGGGTTGAGCATGCCTTGGTCTTAAACTACCAATGGCCAACCACACATCCTTTTTCTTCTGCAAAAGAGAGCCCTCGTCAAAGAACAGTAATATATATGTTTATGTAACTCCTGATGGATCCTAACTTTATTCCTACTCAATCTGACCCTGTCTCATACAAACTCGATCACTTGATTACTAATTCAATGATAAATAATACATAATATAATATATATCTTATTCCCTTACATACATACGTATTATCAAAAAGTTATCATCGACTTCCGCTCAACTCATTTTAAATATTTATTCTTTCAGATTTTTTTTTTTCAAGTCTTATCTCTCATCTGCAAATTGATAAAAAATTAATTATAAATTTCGAATTTTATAAATCAAAAATAAACAAATTTATTTATATAAACTTATGATTTTACTTCCAACGCTGCTTTAAAATTTAATAATGAACCTAGATTTTTTATAAATAAAAAATCCCAACCACCTTCGACCACCATGGAACAAAAATTCTCCGACTGTAAACAAAAAAATAAAAAATTTTTTTTATCAATTTATAGATTTAAGACTTTTTAAAAAATCTGATAAAAATCTAGTCACTTACTTCGAGCTCCGAGTATTATTATTTTAATAGCGATTTAATAGAAAAAAAAAAAAAACCCCTTCAAAAATTGATAAATCCCTAAATAAAATTTATTCCAACGATTTTTACCTTTATGTGAACAATGTACAAGAAAAATAATAAAAAAAAAAAAAGTAAGAATAAATAATGAAAGTGATGACTTGTCTTAGTACCTCGTTATTCAAGTGCAATCAAGGAACTCGTTGTAGAACATCGTACGAGCGCGAGGGTACATGTTACGTACCATCTATAAGTACAGAAAATGGAGGTATTGATCAATAGACAGCGACAGTGTGGATCGTTCTACTTTTATATTATTTTTTAGCATATATATAATAAATATAACAATAATCATCAAACAATTTATGATTACCACTATAATTACTACTACAATTATGACTATGATTATGATTGCCATTATCATTGATTAAATATTAAGATGGCGATGATGATAAAAAAAACTCAACCCGGAGCACGGGTTAGTAAATAAAAAAAAAAAATAAATAATATATATATAATATAAAATGAAATAACTTTGCACCGAGCGTGCGTACTAAGCATTACTATATAATGAATAATGTATTTAACAAAAGGAAAATAGAACGACTAGTACAATGTCGAGAGTGTAAATTGAGCAAAAAAATAAATGAATTAAAAATAAATAATAATATTAAATAAAAAATGAGATTATCTTACCCCTTTTCGGTAGGGAGCCTCCAGCATCGCTTCGACGTCCAAGTCATCGGCCATTGTGCGACTTGGAGAACTTTCTGAAATGCCACGCATTAGCACTCGGCGATACTGCGTTATTTGTGACAAACTTTATCACGTACGACTCGATAATTATAATTATGGTTAATAATGTACTTTAAGATTAATTAATAGTTACGAGGCTGGCCCTTGCTGCTGATTAAATTTACTCTTGATTGCTGGGTGCTCGAAATGAGGTTTTAAATTTGTTATTTTGTGCCAGGACTCACCAGGAATCCACGGAAAGCGACCAAGAAAATGGCGCTTGGACAACTCGGACTCTCGCTCCCAATTTCTTTAAAGACCGAACTGAAGCGCCCTCTTTTCTTTTAGTTTAGTTAGTTTAGTTAGGAAGCGACGTCATTCACTGCGGGATAAATGAAAATGAAGTTAGTCGACACATTTCAAAATTTTTTTTTTTTAATTTAACGTAAAAAATTTAAAAAAAATTTTCACATGTAAAAAATTTAAAAAACTATACCTAAGTGCAATTTTTTATAAATAAATCTTTTTAGTTGTAATTTAATTAATAAAAAAAAATCAAAAATTTCTAGACGTCTGCTACTTAAGCGTCATGCGGGATAAATGCACTGAGGTGACATCTTCCGGTCTTTTAATAATACTGAACATGCTGAAGTTAGCTGACAACTGTCAATTTTAAAAGTTTTTATAACAATTCAACTACAATAATAATAAAAATACTTAAAAAATTTTCTATTAATAATTTTTTTTTAATTGTAACATGTGCAATTTTTTAATTAATTTTTTTTTTCATAATTGCAATTGACACATTTTTTTTTACACAGATGGAGACACGTGCTCCTGTCCGAATATAAAACAGTAAAATGCAAGCACAAGTGTGTGTTTAAATTCCAAGAATAAATAGACAGTTGTGGCGTTGGTTAATGTATGTATTAAAATATTTTCTCAATTTAAAAACAAAAAATATTAAAAGTAAAATATAAAAAAAAAAATAATTTACCTGTAATGTGTTCTCGAAATAATTAACAAGCTAATTTTCAGGTACATCCATCATTAATTAGCACCAAGCACAATTCCATCCAAACACCTCATCAGCGCCATAACCTCAAACCCTAACCTCGTTCCTCAGTCAGAATTTTTGTTTACATAAAATTTAGAACGAATTGCTTATCGTAGCTGGATGATAGAATGGCTGCTATGTGTTTAGATATGCGACGAGCACGTAAAAATGACCTCCGGTCGCGGAACGCGAGCAGTCATCCCTCCGGATCTGGGCATCACCCCTCAGATTACGCTGAGGAGGAGAAGCAACGCCGAAGACACGAGTGGATGCTCGAGCAAGAAAAGAAGCGCGAGCACGAACGTCGCAAGCAGATTATGATCCAGCAGTACGAAGCGCGTCGGGCTCACGAGTTGGCTTTAAGGAACGCTCACAGATCCTCGCACCGGGCTCGCACTAGAAGCCAAAGCCGAAGCCGTAGTTTCTCCAGCAGCAGAAGTCGCGAAAGAAAACGCACCCCCAGTCGCAGCAGAAGTCGCAATAAAAGTACCCGGAATCGCGACAGGAGCAGAAGTAGAAGCAGCAGAAGCAGGTCTTCCGATCACTCACGCAAGCAGCGAGTTCGCTGTAATGTTTCTAAAACTTTAGTTATGGCCAAAAGGTATTTTTTTTATTTATTTATAATACTGAAATTGGGACATATAATTTTTAGAATTTTTTTAACAAATAAATTGTAGCAAGAAAAATTTATTTATTTAAAAGATTCCTTCTTTAGAAGCACTAATAAATCGTAAATGCATTTTTTTTTTTAGCTAATTTATGGAAATTAATTTAGCATATATTTAATAATTTTAATAATTCTATAACAAATAAATTAAGGTAAAAGACTCAGTTATTGACACTGGCCTAGTTGTTTGACACTTGCAATTTAATTCTAATTAAAAAATTAAAATGTTTTCAAAAAATCAATTATTTTAAAATTTATCATTCAAAAATTATAGTTATTAATTTATTAGAGTTGATTTGTTTTTTTTTTAATTAAAATAAAGATGCAAGTGTCAATAACTCGGTCAGTGTTAATAACTGAGTCTTTTACCTTATTGCAAAAGAAATAAAAAAAAAAGTTGACATGTAAAAATTTAAAAAAATAAAAAATACAATTTTTTAGAAATAATTAATTAGAACAAATTTGCTTGTTAAAAAATAATTAAAAAATTATGTAGTGACTGTTAACTTTAATCTCATAAATGATTTTATAGACAGTTTACTTAAAAAAAAAAAAAATGTCTGCTAATTTTAATCTCATATTTATTTTGTTAAATAATATTTTAGTTTCTTATCAGTCATTTTAAAAATTGACTTTTTTTATTATCCAGCGCTCCAGTGTTTAAAGGACCAGAAATATCGCCGATACCTTTAGCAGATTTGAAGAAAATAAAAATTGACATCCACCGGCAGATCCCGACGACTGTACCACAACCTGAAAAACTTGAACGGGATATATTAAATCCCGAGGATATTGTAGTTGCACGCAAAGACGGTAATTTTATATCATCAAGTGTATTAATTATATTTCCTACAGATTTTTTATTGAGGTAATGTTTGAAATATGTTTCAACACTGAAGATTTTGAAAGTACTCTGGACGACAACTGGAAGATTAATATGTTAAAGACTTTGAGATTTTGTTATTAATGACTTTGAATAATACTATTACTTTCTGATGTAGGATACGAATTATCCGAGATCACAACTACTAGACCACTACGTGGCGTCGGAGTTTGATCACACGAATTAGTAACAGCAATTTTTGTAAGCGGTATTTATTATTACTTCGATTATAATGTGCTTTGCTGTATTTTTAGTTAACATCCACATTATTTATTATTTTGCACTGCATTTAGATTAAAAAAAATTTTTTTTTTATTTTTTCCATTTCATTCTTAATTACTTGCTGCATGATTGGTCTTTGAAATATTTAAGATAATATCATTTTTTTAGTGGTAAGTAATTAAATAATCTCATCACTGAAGACATCAGCTGGAAGATCATCACTGAAGATATAAAAAATTACGCGAAAAAATTATTTTTCACTAAATTAGCACAATTATTAAATAATCTATCAAATTATTTTTACTTAAAGTTTGCTTACTAATGACTATTTAGAAAAAGAAAAAAAAAAAACTATTATCACATCATTGAAGCTCGCATGTCTTCCAACAGGTGAAGGAATAATTCCAATATTCGATCGTCCAGAACTCAAGACCACTGGAATATCAACACCCGAAGTTAAAGAGCTCCGTACGATAATTTCGGTGCAAAATGGCAAGAGACGCTCCTCTAGAAGACGCTCATCCTCGTCATCTTCAAGCCGACACCGCCGATCACCGAGCTCTAATCGCCGTTCGTCGAGCTCAAGCCCTAGGCACCGCCGATCTCGAAGTCCTCGTCGGGAGTCTAGGTTCGTTTTAGTTATTTACAAACCAAAAATTTTTTCTTTTATGGGTATATTATATGAGTATTACATAGATATATCATTTCTATGGAGCCTTTACTCGTGATAACTCGTTGAGTGTTTGACGATCCAATAGGCGAGATAATTGCTAATTGCTAATTGCGATCTCGATACTCCGAGTAGTCACTTGAAGTTACAGGCTCTGTAAAATTGAATACTTGCAGTGAGTATTTAAATTAATGCTTTTGTTAATTTAGTTTTTAATCCAGTGTCATTCCCTAGACTTGATATGTTTTCTACTAATTTTATTATCGAGTTTTTGTTCTAGTACCTCATTTAAAGTGATCCAGAGATGCGGCGATGCTATGCTGATGAAAAGTTGATCGTCGCTCCAAGAAATCGGACATAAATCACGTAGCTTAGTTTGTTACGTATCGTGCTTGTTTTCTCAAGCTGTACAGAGAAAAATGAATATTATTAATTTTATTTTATTTTAACAATGTCCTGTAAGATTTTTTTTTATTTATTTGAATGTATTTACTACTCTACTTTTTAATTAAAAATTAATATTTATGTTGAGGTAAGGTCGTACAATAATTTATAAAATAATTAAATATTATATAAAATATTAAAATGATATAAAAATATAAAATAAATGAATCAATAGTTGGATGGAATTGATATTAGTATTTAATATTTGTTATTTAGATATTAATTTCAATGAAGACTCAAACTATATATTCATTTTCTTATTATGTGGATAAATTATAAAACAATAGTTTTCAAATTGAATATTGTATTGATAATTGAAAAAACAAAAGGATTATTGCTAACTAAAAAATTTTAAATAGGTATAAAAGCTCAAGGTACGAAAAAAAATCTCGCCATAATTCGAAATATAGGTAATTGATTTTTAAATTATTTCATGGCTTTTATTCTTATAATTTTATATTGATTATTAATGCTAAATAATTAATAATTTTTATAGGGAACATAGTCGAGATCGTAAAAATGATGACAAGCCAAGAAGTCGAGACCGTCATCGTTTAAGTGAAGCTGGTTCTCGAGACAACAGACGCCACGGATCATCGTCTAGAGGACATGGTTCTCGTCATCGTTCAACGTCCAGAGACAGAGATAGGCGTCATAGTTCACATAGAATCGCTCACAATTATGATAGATATGAGTCTCATAGTTCTAGACGTGTTCCTCCTTATATGAAACCGCTGCAATTTCCTTATTATTTCGCCGTAAGTTCAAGATAATAATAATAATAATAAATCAGGATTTAGGATAATATGCATAAAGATTGAATTAATTAATGGTTAATTTTTTACAGGATTATATGAGACCGATAGTGATAGACCCGGTGATGGCTATGCGAGCTCCAATGCCTTATGTTCGAGGAAGAATGCCACCGATGATGGGAATGGGAGGCCCAATTCGTCCGAATTTTCCACGATTCGGGCCACCTGAAATGATAAGACCTTATGGTCCACCTGGCCCACCTCATTCGCGTAAGTTTGAAATATCTAATGTATAAAATATTTTTATTGATTGACTAATAGATGTATAGAATAAAAATAATTAATTATTTATGTTTTATCTGTTTCAGGACCTGGAAGACTTTGACTGTTGCTCATTTAGAATAAGCTTATTATAATTATGCGGCTATGTATCGAATTATGCCTTGCTTAGATAATTTTTTATTACTATGGTAAACTTTATAAATATTATGGAATTTTTGTAATAAGAAATGTAATTTTTTAAAATCTTGTATAATTTTAAATACAATTCATCATCTTGAAACAATTACTTTGGTTTTTTTTTTTTTTAATAATTTCTACTATTTTATTTGTCTATTACATGGATTTTTGTTATTATATATTAAAATCGAGTAAATTGAATAATTTAAAAAAAGAAAAAAGAATTTTAAGCAAAAAGGATTAAAATCAAATAAATGAAATTTTTAATATTATTAGAAGATAAGTAGTTACTAAAATAAAACTAACAGATAAATAGTAGAGAGAATAATAAAATCGTGAGGAATTAAAAAATTTAGAATAAACTCTCAAGTAAAATTAGTACATCAAGTAAAGTAAAGGCCATGACTAGACATATCACGGCTAGTTGTAGTAGGGATATTTGACTGTACAATTTTACTCCCTCCAACAAAACTGTTTAGACATTTAACATCAAATGTAAATAGAAACAAAAAAAATTAATTGTAAAACGTGCCAAAACCCCATGTTATTTAAATGAGAAATGTATTGTCTTTGTGGCACGGTTCAATATCAATATTAAGGGCTTATATGGGTCTGATATTTTTTTTTAGGCCACGAACTAAAAATCTAATGGGCACTGCAAAGTCAAAAACCAAATTGGTAAATAACGGACACCCTAATATAACACATATGTTAATTTATCTAAACTAATTTTATGATGAAAATTTCACTTCATAAAATTTACTTGAATTTCGTATTCTAACTTATAATTTTGTTAAATGATAATAATTTTATAATTCTCAATAAACCAGATTTAAAAAAAAAAATTTTAGTTAATTTTTATAATTTGAATTGATCGCGGCGACTTAAGCGCCACAGGTCGGCTACGCGTAGAAAAGAAAGTCTGGGTACCCTGCTGGCATATTATTCAGTTATTCCGACCTACAACCAACAACTAACGTATTCTCTCACGCAATTATTCTGAAAAAATGTTTAGCAACGATTTTAAGTGATAAATATATATTTATTTAATTAAATAGTTTTTTTTTTTTTATTAAATAAAATAGTAAAATATTAATTGATTTACTAAGTGCATCTAGTCAAAAATTAAATTTCATTTACAAAACTATATCAGGTGAGAACTTAACCTCTAAACGTATTGATTACTTTGCAATAAGCGTGGTATCAAATAAACTGTTTTTTTTTTTTTTTTATCGCAGATGTTAACGTACCTGGTAATTGATAAATATTAATTGAAACAAATAAAGCTATGGAACACGAAGGAAGCCCCGTTGAACATCGTCGTCCAGACAAGGACCGCAAAGAGAAGAGAAGGAAGCGAGACGATGATCACGTGCACAAGAGGTACTGGGACAACGATTGGAGCCATGAAAAAAGAACTGACAGGTCCCCGGATGATCAAGAGGAAAGACACAGACGGAGACGTAGGGAACGAAGTCCCGGTGAGTGTGAAGACAGGAATAGGCGAGAAAGAAGTCCGCACATGACTGAAAGACACAGGCGAGACCGGAATTCGCCCTTTAGATACGAGAGGAACCGACGAGACAGAAGTCCGTACGAGAGCAGGAGAGACAGAAAATACAGAAGTCCTCATGAGGAAAACGAGCGGTCTGATAGGAGAGATCGCAAGCGCTCCAGAAATTCACCCAGTGAGATGCCAGAAGAGGGAGAAATTCCTGACGGAGCTAAAAAGAACGAGAAAAATAAAATCCAGGATGAGGAACTTGGTAATATTTCTCGTGCTCAAAAAAGAACTGTAGATTTATTAACTTCCAAGACCGGAGGTGCCTATATACCGCCGGCTAAGCTCAAGCTGATGCAGGCGGAGATAACAGATAAATCATCAGCAGCTTATCAACGTATTGCGTGGGAAGCTTTAAAAAAATCAATTCATGGGCATATTAATAAGGTCAATACTTCGAACATCGGTCTCATCACCAGGGAGTTGCTGCGGGAGAATGTTATTCGAGGAAGAGGACTCTTGGCTAGGTCGATAATCCAAGCCCAAGTTGCTTCTCCGACGTTCACACCTATTTATGCAGCTCTGACGGCGATTCTTAACTCGAAATTCCCAAATATTGGAGAACTGATCATCCACAGACTGGTTAAACAGTTCATACGAGGATACAAAACTAATAATAAATCTTTGTGTATTTCCTCAGGAAGTTTCATTGCACATTTAATCAACCAGCGTGTTGTTCATGAAATTATCGTATTGGAACTGTGGCACGTGCTGTTGAAAAATCCCACTGACGATTCCGTGGAAGTAGCTATTGCTTTGTTAAAAGAATGTGGTCAGAAGTTAACCGAAGTTTCCAAAGCTGGTATCGTGGAAATTTTTGATCTATTGAGGAATATTTTACACGAGGGAAAACTCGATAAAAGAATCCAGTACATGATTGAAGTTATGTTCCAGATACGTAAGGATGGGTTCAAAGACCACGTGGCTGTCCCCAAGGAACTGGATCTTGTGGAAGAGGATGATCAGATAATCCACGTCATTCAGCTCCAAGATAAGCACGACTCTGAAGATATTCTCAACGTATTTAGATTTGACAGTGAATATATTAAAAATGAAGAAAAATATAAAGAGTTGCAAAAAGAAATATTGGGCTCTGACAACAGCGATGCCAGTGGCGAGGATGAAGATAGTTCTGAGGAAGATGACAGTGGTGACGAGGAAGACCCCGAGAAGAAAGAAGTCATATTGGATAATACTGAGACTAATTTGAAGGCTCTCAGGAGAACAATTTATTTGACCATTCATTCTTCTTTGGACTTTGAAGAGTGCGCGCACAAGCTGATGAAGATGCAGCTGAAGCCCGGACAGGAGCGCGAGCTCTGTTACATGTTCCTAGACTGCTGCAAGGAGAATAGGACATATGAAAAATTTTATGGATTATTAGCTGGTCGTTTCTGTGCAATAAATAAAATTTATGTCACTCCTTTTGAGGAGATTTTTAAAGAATCTTACGACACAATTCACAGACTGGACATGAATAAGCTGAGGAATGTCGCCAAGTTCTTTGCCCATCTGCTAATTACAGATTCTATTTCGTGGGTGGTGCTCAACTGCATCAAGTTGAACGAAGAAGACACAACTCCTAGTAGCCGTGTGTTTATAAAAATTTTGTTCCAAGAGTTGTCTGAGTACATGGGCGTGCCCAAATTGAATAACAGGATTAAAGACGTCACGTTGCAAGAAGCCTTCGAAGGACTCTTTCCAAGAGATACAGATAAGAAGACGAGGTTTGCTGTCAATTTCTTCACTACCATCGGGCTGGGAGGATTGACAGATGATTTGAGAGAGCATTTGAAGTCTCGGCCCAAGGTCTTGGCTGCTCCTCCGCCTGAAATATTGGAGACTTTGAAGAAGCCTAGTTCCTCTAGCTCATCGTCATCCTCGACGTCGTCTTCATCCTCTGATTCAGGATCCAGTTCAGATTCTTCATCGTCATCGTCATCGTCATCGTCATCGTCATCGTCATCAGAGGAGGAAAAGAAGAAGAAAAAAAAAAAGACAAAACTTCGGGAGAAGGTGAAGGAGATGAAAAAAAAATCAGACAAGAAAATCAAAAAGAAAAGACAGGAAAAAGATAAAAAATCTTTAAAAAAGAAAAAAAGTAGAAAATAAATAACTATTTTGTTTTATTAATAAATAATGTAAGTCTATATTTTAATAAAATAATTTTTTTAATAAAAAAAAAAATTTGTTTTTAGCATTAAATTTATAATAAAAATTATCAAAATTTTCTGAATAAAATAATATACTAACTTTTTTTTAGAAAATTTTAGCGCTGCAATTTCGTAAGTATTATTTTTTCTCAATGGCATATTTTTGTTTCCTCTTCAATAAAAAATTAAAAAAATCCAGTGGGTCTTACCCAGAATATTAATCATGCGTATACATAACGACAAAACAATAAACTTTCGTAACTTTTCGATTAAAGAATCCAATAATAATTTTACGCATTTCTGCATTCTGTATTTAAAAAAATTGCATAAGCTGAATTGCCTAATTTTTCGCTTCTCTGCCAAATGTGTAAAACGTATTATTTAAATTTATTGATTGTCATAAAAATCACTTATTGTCTCAAACAAAAAAATTTATTAGTACTTTAATATTTATTTAATGATCCATAATAATAATATAAATAATAACAAATTATGACAAAAAAAAAACACTAAAAATACAAAAACTGCTAGCAAAACAATAAAATTTAATAACAACGACCCACAGTATTTACAACATTACACAATAAATTGATAATTATAATTACTTAATAAATTAATAGTTTTACTCAAGGCCTACTAGCTTTCCACCGATTTGATTAAGCGCAGCAGTAATTCCTCGAGAAGTTTTTTTTGCAGCATCTACTGGCAGCTGGATCATTTTTAAAAATAATTAAATATAATTATGTTAATTATTATTCTAGTCTACAAACTGAGAACTGACGAAATTATGAATACTTACATCGACAATAGTGTTTAGAAAATTACTAAATCCCTCGAACCCATTAATAAGAGCTCTTCCAATGCCTATGAATTTATCACCGGTGTTTCCATACTTGTCTTCTTCTTTTATTCTGTCTACCAGAGGAACAGGGGACAGAAGATTCTCGAGAAATCCTTGGACTGGTTTAGGTTTTTTAAATTCAAAGAGTGACTGTCCAGTTTCACTCTCTAATCGTGACGTTTCTCTAGTCTTGGCAGGCAAAAAACTGTCCAGAGGACCTATTTTAATGGGCGTGCTGACAGTGGTAACGATCTCGCTTCTGGGACTGATGGCGTTCCGCTTCTCAGTCTTATTCTGGATGATCTTCCTCGCGTCCCTCGCCGCTAGAAGTGAGACCAATTTGTTGGCAGCCTCGCTGGTGAATTCCTTAAACATAAAATTAATAATAATTACATAAACAACAAATCTGATATTTTAATTCAACAATTGTTTATAAATTATATTAATATTCCAACAGAGTAGCGACTCTATACACTCTGTACGTGATTTACTAAATTGGCAATCACTGTTACGTTGTTGTGAAACTTTTCCTTGTTAAACTATTTTCACAACTCATTTTCACTCTTATTAAAAATTAAACATTTATTTAACTCCCTTATAGTCATCATTCCATAAGATACAAGTGCGGTGACTTTTGGTACGTGATCCAGGTATAAATGGTTTGTTAGCGATTAATTTTATTGAAAGATTATTTTAATTTAAAACAATTACCTCCGCGCGCTCAGCAATCTCGTTTCTAGCCATCATCACAAAATTTACAAATCTCCCTCTGCCAAATCTCAGTGAATCCATAATTTGGCCTAACAGTTCCTACAAGGGACAATCTATCTTCAATTCTAGTAATTTTTGTTTTTTCACACACTCGGTTTTTATTGTCTAAATATTAACTCTTACAAAATTTTTAATAGCGTAAAAAAAATTTACTAACTTGTAAAATTTAATTTATAAAAAAATATTTTATTAACAATAAATAAATTTTTAAAAATTTTATTTTGTAATTACTAATCTATCACTAAACTTTTTTAAGGTAAAAAAAAATTTCTAAGCTTTTACAAACTTTCTAAACATTAAAAAGAAAAAAATTTACTAAATTGTAAAATTTAAATTATTAAAAAAATAATTTATTTAAAATAAATAAATTTTTTTAATTTTATTTTATAATTACTAATCTATCACTAAACTTTTTTAAGATAAAAAAAAATTTCCAAGCTTCTACAAACTTTCTATACATTAAAAAAAAATTAAATTTCACTACTTGTTTTTAATTAAATTTAAGATCTTTTACATAAAAAACTAAAAGTTAAGATTAAAAATAAATTTTTTTTAACCCAAACAAATTTTTTAAAAATTTTTTATTTCATTAAATATAAAAAAAAAACTCCAAAATTTTGTAAGAGTTAATTAAAAATAATCTAAAAAACTCAAACAGAAAAAAAAACATACCATGCTACGATCCCAGCGATTAGGTACTTTAATAATGGTGCTGTTAATTATTTCTTTAGGAGTTTCTAAAGTTAATTCCACAGTTTCAGTCGTAGAAGTAGGCTTTGATAACACGTGTTTATCAACATTTGCAACAAGTAATAGTACCAGGAGTTTCCCGAACATATTGCATTGATCTAAAATAAAAAACAAGTAATTAATTATCAAGAGAATTTACAGCCTAGCGGTGATAGATAAATAAAAAGAAGTAAATAAATAAAAGAACAAACAAGTAAACTAATGGAATACTCAAATAATCATACACAACCATTCGATGCGATAAACAGACAGCAACTGATTCTTTCTTCACCTCCACTTGACGCTGGACGACGTTGCGTATTGCGACATCTCCCCTTTACTTTCTCTTTCAATTCGCCGTCCGTACAAGTTCAAAGTATCGGAGATCGGGGATATTTGGTCATCTTTTTATCCTTCTGTATTTCAGCCCATGATAATCGGCCCAACATAATGGGCCATCATCATCTTGGTTATCGTGGCCAATTGACAAAGTCATCCGGACAGAATCACTCTGCTTCTATGTACTTAGTAATATTTTTTTAACATACTTTCGCTTTCAAGTTTCATCATCTACGTCACTTGTAGTGTTTTAACAATTTGTTGAAACGAAATAACAAATTTAATGATAAACAATTACGATTATCGCAATAATCATTTTAAATAACAGCAACATTGTTGTTTCTATAACATGTATTTTTTAATTTTAACATATATTGATGTTAGAACATAACAAGCTAATACTAAATAATTAGATGTAATGATGAATATCTAGAGTTTAATTATAGAGAAAATAGTAACAGCTATTAACATTAACATTAGTCTCGCTGATAAATTTCATAACTCAAGGTCTAGATACTAATTTTAATTATAATTATTAGACGATATAAGACACTACTTTTAAATTCTCAGTTTTTTAACATGTAATGAGTATAATGTTCATATTAATTTTATAATTATTTAGATTTAATTAGTTAGTCTTATTAATAGTGACAACTATTTTTATTTATTCTTTTTTGCTAATTACAATTTTTGAGCTATTAAAAAATTTTTTTCTAAAAATTTTATTAATAAAAATTAATATAATTGTTTATTCAATTAATGAAAACAAAATTTTTTTAATTTTTGATTGAAAAAAAAATTTAATTTTGTTAAAAATAAAAAATTTGAAAGTTTAATTTTTTTCAATTTTAGAAAAAGAAATTTTAATTTATAAAAATTTAAAATTTTAATCAATATTTTTGTATTTTATTTCAAAGAACGTAAATATTGATTACAACCACTCACTCCTATAATTTAGCGATCGCTAACAATGTAACCAACATCAAAAATTGTATAATCAGCTAAAAAAAGAAATAAATGAACATGGTAATTTAACATAATAATAAACGGTAATAAAAAAAGTAATAACAGTGGTACATTGATCGTGAATCTTTGGACGCAATAAAAGTGTTCACTGACACGCAGTGATGTTAAATAATACAAAAATTAATTAATGACAGATCATGGATCGTAAATCGTACGTACAAAACGTCATCTCAATTAAAGGTAATTCTGGATTTTTCCGCGCCTCTGAACAAAAACGCATAAACAGGTTGATGATGCACTATACTAATGTAAAAAATAAGAATAAAAATTAAATTGAGAAAAGAGCGTCCTTGGTACGCGATGACTCCAAGTCCAGATCATCCCACTTTGCTGTTCAGCAACTGGTTTACGGCGTGCAAAGTTGATATGGGAATCTGAAAAACAATTGCTCATTATTAAAACTATCACGCTTGCTTTTATTTTATTATCTTAATTTAAATTTATTTAAAATAAATAAATAGAATACTCAAATAGAATATTTAATTTCATTGTTTAACTTAAGATATTGAAGTTAGCTGACAATTGTCAATTTTTAAAATTTTTATAACTCCTGAGGGCCAGTTTTTTAATCCAGGATAAAATTTTATCCAATGATAAAATATATCTGTATATTTCATATAATATAAATATACTAACAATAATAATTTTATCCTAGATATTAGATTGGCTAGAAAACCAATACTTTTCAATAATTTTTTCTTTGTCTCAATACTTTTTTTTTAATCAGGGACAAAAAAACATATTTCTAATGTCAGTTAACTTCAGTGTCTTCAAAATTTGTATTGACAAAATTTACAATTTTAATTTAAAGATTAGAAATAAAATAAAAATTTTTTAATATAATTCTAATACCTACCCAAGCGGCACAAAATTTTTTTCATTAATGTTTTGTTGAATTTAATAAGTTGACGATTATTAATTTTTTAACTTCTTGTTAAGTAAAATCTACCAAAAAGTCAACATTTTTTTTGTGACGCTTGGGTACTTATATATTAAAATTTAAGATATTAATTTTTTTAATTTATGAAAATTAATAATTATTAAATTAAAAAATTTTAAATAGTTTTTAAAAATAAAGAAGAAATCTTAAATAAAAATTTTCTTACGTCTTTCATATTTAACTTACATTAAAAATGTCATCAAAAAGAGTTTTGGGTCTAACTGGTCCATAAGCAGGTCCTGGCGCTAATGCGACATCTGTTCTAGAACTTTGGGGAAGAATTTTAGTACTGCGAGCGTCTAGCGGCAAGGGTTGAGGTTGAGTCAACAACTCGGGTTGAACAAAATCTGCAGGTACTTGTGCAAGAGGAAGTTGTTGTTGAATTATTGTCTTGGTGAGTCTGTTGCAAATTTGCCTCCTTTTCTTGCGACAGCGCGAGTTTGCGTAAGCGTATGCTGGTTGTTGACAGAAAAAAACAATTCATTATTTATAATCATCAATAATCAATTCAAAAAAAAATATAAGAAGGTAATTAAAATAATTACCGGGTTGTGGCGCTGGTGCGGGTACGGGCAAAGGTTCCACGACATTGACCCCCTCGGGTGAGTCGATCTCACGTCTTACTAAGCCGTCACTTTGGACATTTGAACTCAGTTTCTAAGTAAGTAATTTTTATTTTATTTATTTTTATTCTAGTTACTAAGTACTAATTAGTGATTCATCAGCATGATGACTGATCAGCAATTACCTGATTTCTAGAAATTAATTGAATGTTGCTTTCGTTGGGAACCGGAGGAACCAAAGGAACGTCACCGCTAGGAGCGCCACCAATGCTCTTGGAGACAATCCGAGTTCTTCCTCTGTTGCTGGTCGCTGTGTAAAGAACTCCTCCGTTCTTGGAACCGTCAACTCCGTCCAAATTCCCGCCGAGACCCGCAGCTGCTTCTGGACCGCCATTTCCGAGACCAGCTCGTGCGTGCAAGCCTCCGCCTGGAAGATTTTTAGTTATTGGACAAATAAAAATAATTTTTTGAACAGGAAATTTAGTATAAAGTACCAGCTTTGCCTCCTTTGTCGCCATTAAGCGAACCGCCGAGTTCTGCTGATGCATGCGCCCCAAACGGCGTTCCTGCTCCAGCAAAAAGACCGCCTCCGTTACCGTTTCCGGTTAACAGACCTCCGAGACCGGCTTCCGCGTGGTAGCCAGCGAAATTTACTCGAACTCCGCCGTTTTTGAACTCCAAAAATGGAAGCTGGAAAAATTTGAGGTCGAGTATTTTTAATTTGTGAAAAATTTTTTTAATTATTTTTATTTCTTCTTTTTTAGATAATTTAATTTAATTTAAATTTTTGGATAATTTTCTGAAGAAAAATCACTTTAAAAAACTGATTTCAAAATTTAGTATCAAAAATTCTTTTTTTAAAAATTCTACGGTTTAAAACTGAAAACAAATTGAAAAATAAATGGGTAAAAAATGAAACATTCCAAGCGGCACAAATTTTTTTTTGTTAATGTTTTGTTGAATTTGTGTTGACAATTATTAATTTTTCAACTTCTTGTTGAGTGAAATCTATCAAAACATTTTTTTTTTGTGACACTTAGGAGCTTCTAAGGTTTAGTATTTTTTATTTAATTAATTTTTTTAAACTAAAAAATTTTTCTAATTTTTTTAATTCTTATTTTTTAGATAATTTAATTTAATAAAAATTTTCGATAATATTCAAAAAAGAAATTACTTTAAAAAGCTAATTTCAAAATTTGGTATTAAAAATTCTTTTGTTAAAAATTCTATAGTTTAGAATTGAAGATAAATTTAAAAATGAATGGGTTAAAAAATTAAATATAGTCTTTATTAAAAATTCTACTATTCTAATCAAAAGACGACCTAAAAAAAGTGTATTTGTTATTGAAATATTTTTTACAACAGTAATTAAAAGAATAGAATGAATAATTAGGGTTAAAAAGTGAGAAGAAATAAAAAGTTATTTAAAAGGGTCGGTCTTCTGTAAAAGGAATACTTATTGACGGGTTGTGTTATTTAATTGAGTATTTAAATATCCATTACATGGTTTTGCAACAGTGAGGTAATTTTAGAGAGTCAACGGAAGTAATTGTATATGAAAAGTATTTTTAAAAAAAATGAAGAGGCAATTTTAAATGATAGTAAACGCGAAAGTTTCAAGTACTTATATTTTAAATTTCTTCACAACAATGAAATTGTTAAATTAAAGTATAAATATAAAATAAACAACCCGTGGGAATAAATTATAACGAGGATAATGAACTTATTAAATCCAACTTACGCCAAACAGAGAGTCTTGCTTGGTGTCTGTTTTCTTAGTGGTGTCCTCGGGGAACGGCATGCCTTTTGATATGGTTATTGTTAACAACAAAATCACGACACATTTACTATTAACCATCTTAGCGAGTGGCGGAAACAGAATGACTCGGCGATGTCGACAAGTAGCTACTCGCACTTTCAATGCATTCGTTCAGAGAAGGGATTTGCTCGAGTGGGGCTTGGGTCCAATCAAAGGAGCTGCGGATTAGATGATGGAGCTCACTATCATAATAATAATAGTAATAATAATAATATATAACAGCAAAAATAATATTATTAGTGAAGAAGAAAATGAAGAAGACTTTAACACGGTCACGGATTTAAAGTGACTTAGAATAAAAAAAAGCATTTAATTATGATGGGTCATTGACGTACAGATATTTGCAATGGTAATTTAAATGTCACGTTTCAACGGAAGTTTATCTATTAATTTTTTTTATGTATTGACCATTGTTGTGATTTATTATTCTTGTCACGTGTACTACAGATTTATTTTAAATTTTTTATGCGGTACGATGTAAACAAGTTTAGGTGATTTATTTTTAGTTCCGTGAAGAAATATACATATTATTTTTTTTAGTACAAAAAGTAATTCAATTAAAAGAAAAAAAAATTAATAAATAAAAACATTACTCACATTTTCCTAAAAAATAATAAATTACAAGGATTTATTTCCGTCTAATTTAAATAATTGTTCCACGCTTTTTATAAATTATTTATTATTAAGTTCTAGTATTATAATTACTTAGCGATAATTAAAATCGAAAGCGCGATTCAGGTGCTATTTTATTTTGTATAATTCCAGAGTAAGGTTTCCAAGGACCAATCTGAACAGCGTCATCCAGTGTCTCTGTGACATGATAAATGTTACCATCTCCACCCAGAATAGGCTGGCCTATATTATTACTATTGCTATTACGATTTCCAAAGAGTCCATGGTGGCTCAAATGTCCATGACTTCCGTGGTTTCCGAAATGGCCGTTGAGATTGTGTGGCTTGCGTTTTTTCTTCTTGTGACCATGTCCATGGAAGCCTTGGTCGTGTCCAAAAAACAGGTCAGTTAGCGGAAAGTCCCAGCCAAGGTATGCGTGTCTTTTTCTGGTTGTAAAGTCCTGGTTTTCTGGTTCTACATTTTCTTCACTTATTTTTTTCTCCAAAGACTTGATTTCTTCTTCATTTACTGACTTAGCTTCTTGAGTTAGTCGATCTTTTACCAGGTTACTTATGGCTTGCAAAGTTTGCACGGGGATCTAAAATAAATTAATTTTACATATATATTGATGATATAATAATCAATAACTACTTATTACATAATTTTATTACATCGAATACTTTATTAATTGTGTCACTGTTTTCAGGGTACCAGGATTGCGCTGCAGTGGAGGTTCCTTCTATGGCCGTGATTGGTATCTATGTTCAACAAAATTAATTAATTAATTAATAATAATAATAATAATAATAATAATGACAAAAAATTTAATATTTATTATTATTCTTATTATTATTATTATTACTTTTTTTTTTTTAACAATATTTTAATTAATTTACCTGAAAAATATTATCGACTGTATTAGGACTTACACCAGATTTTATAACCGGCTTACCCGTAGTGCCGTAAACCACTCGTCGTCTTCCTGTTTCTTCAATCACAAAATTTTCACCTACTACCCAATTAACGACTAAAAATAATCCAATTATTCGAAACATTTCCTTGGAACTTAAATCACTTTAACAACCAGCCATAAAACATGACATTTATTATAATTATAATTGTTGAATTTGCGAATGGCATCGATGCCAGATTAATATTAAAGCAGATTGCCGGTGGACCATCCTCTATATAAGCTCTCTTGGATGACATGACCCACAGGCAGTATTGACCAATCATCAGCGACGGCTTTCTCTTTTTACAAATTTGCTTTTATTTCGCGGGACCTCACGAATACGTGGGCGTTAGCAGGACGCGTAATAAACCATAAACTATAAAAATATTTATAAAAAATAGTATTACGTAAAAATGAATGTACATTCAATGGTAACTATGACGTGAGCTACAGAATTCCCTTTTAGAGATTTAAGAATTTTGATTTATGTATTGTATAACAATCTTTTTATAAATACAGTAATTAACTATATACATTTGTAGGATTTAAAGATGAGTTTCTAGCTACTTTTTGTGAGTTTTAATAAAGTAATATTAATTATCATCATTAATAAGCATCCGGGTTATCTGCTAGGAATGGCTGAGCACTTTTCGACAATTCTTTCCTGAACTTTTTTATGTTTGCCCGTGATTGCTGTAATTTAAAAATTATATTTTAGTTTTTTTGTTGAATTAAGAAAATAATAATAATAAAATTAAAAGTAAAACTTACAGTAACAGCATCTTTCCATTCGATATTAAAAAGCCGAACCAATCCACGTACATTTCTTCTTACAATATTTTCCAAGGTAGATCTAGTTAACTTAAATGGCGCTTCGGTTGTCGAAGTTTGATTAGTAGCTGATATAGTTACATCAGCGCTTGCAGTTACCGCTGTATGTTTACCTTGCGGTGATATTTTTGGCGCTTCAGTAGTTGTGTCAGACACAATATTTTCTGCCAAGACATCTCCTACTTGCTGGATTGTTGATCTTGTGTCATTAATAGTCTACGAAGAAATAATAAATAATTACTACTATCACTATTCTCATAACTTCAACATTTAGAGCCAGTTTTTCAATCCAGGATAAAATTATATCCAATGATAAAATATATCTATCTATTTCATATATATATATAAATATACTGGCAATAATAATTTTATCCTGGATAAAATTTTATCTCGGATTGAAAAACTGGCCCTTAAAATTATTATCATTATTAATCACTTGTCAGTTTTTTAAATTCTTATAACAAATCAATTGCAATAACAAAAATTCTTCTAAAAATTTCCACTAATAATTTTTATTAATTTTCATGTGTGGAATTTTTTTATTAAATTTTTTATGAAAATAAAATTAGCGAACATCTGACGATTTTTTTAGGATTTTTCTTATTAAAAAAAATTTGACATATTAAAAAATCTGAAAAACTACAAGTGCAATTTTTAAATAATATTTTTTGTTCTAATTTAATTAATTAAAAAAATAAAAAAAATTCTTAATGTCAGTTGATTTTAGAAATTTTTTTCACAATAATTTAATTGCGATAATATTCGAAAAAAAATTTTAATGTCAGTCAACTTCAGTGTCGTTATTATTATTAATATTAAAAATAATTAAATATTAATTATAACCTCAAAAATGACGCTAAATAAAGTCCAGAAAAATCCTGGCCTCTGTTTTTTGACTTGTCTAACGACACGCTTAGTTTCTTCAGTGACATTCGCCCTAGAAATAACCCGTTCGCCGATGGAGTCCCATTTCTCGAAATCAATGGGCCCAGCCTCTGAGAGCATCTTCACCAAAGCAATCTCTTCTTCTTGAGCAGCCTTATCAGCCCGAAATTCCTGACCTACATACTCTGACTGAATTTCACTGTAAATATTGTTTGGCCTTCTTTCATATCTTTGGTTGTCTATCGAGCGCGGCCATTTTTGACCGGCAGCTTGGAGCCCCAAAAACAACACACAGATGCTCAGAGTTAATTTATTCATAACTGTAAGTAAATGAAATTGAATTATCAACAATATTAAAAATAAAATAAAAATTATATTCTCACGCACAGGAAAATAATCAGCGGTTTTAAAACCGCAGTCAGTAATTGACTGAGAATTTAATTTCATACACTTAATAAATTTATTTTAATGACATTACTTCATTTTAGAGGGGATTAATATTTGGCCACCAGCTCCATGTGTCATATACGTGATCAAGTGCATAGTATAATGTATTAAATAATTATTAAGCTAGAACAGGTTGCAAATACCGACGAAATTGGATCTTAAAGGTTGGTAAATATATTTACGTTAAATATATAATTTTTTAATGTAACTGTCTATTAAATCAAACATATTTACATACAGAGAGATAACGTTCCCGAGTTTACTTTCTATGGACAACTTCCGCGACCGAGATTTCCATCAATTATGATTATGAGTTTACTTTTATTCTATACGAACATTTATTGGTATATTTATTAAAAAAATTATTTATTAATTTTTAATAATAATTATTGCATGTTTAATTCTTTAATCAGGTCATTTTTTACTCTTCTAAAATATTAATAATTTATTAATGTTAATAAGTGCAATTAATGTACAGAATTTTTTACTACTGATGTAAGTAACAGATGACTCTTGATATCCTTGTAACAATTTCACTGAAGAAATATTTGTTTTTTAGATTAAAACTAAAAATTAATCGATTGAATCATCCGGAATTTCCATTTCTAACGTTTCGTAGAAGAAAGTGATGAAATAAAATAACAAACGTAAGTAAGGCTTGGACCACATTATACTTAATTTACATAATAGTTTTCTCGTGAATACTTCTCTCGTGTATCATGAGTGTTATGAAAGTAATGCCATAATACGTTAGATAAACGTAATTTTATTAATACTCAGTATTTATAATCTCAGTAAAGTAAAGAAACTTTTCTTCTTTTATTCTAAACTATTTGTTTATCTATAGAGCTTTATTTTTAAAATGATAACGAATTTGTCCTCAGATTCATTATTAGTAATTACCGTGTATTATATATGTGCATTACATTTATTTAACATTGCAATAGTGAAAAGAGAAACTCGAGGTCAGTGTGCACTCGAAATAATTAAGACGAATTTAAAATAATATTTTTTACGTAATTTTATTTATTTGCGCTCTATAAAAATTTTTATAAATTCGCCTTTAGATGTTATTTCATTTTTATGTAACTTCATCTCACGTAACGCAATTTTTTATTTATTTAAATTTACTTTCAAAATATTCATTAAATGCTAATAAAAGGCACATTACCTGAGTGATTAACCGGCATGTCGATCGCCTAAAAAATAAAAATAAAAATTATAAAAAATTTTTATGATTTATCACTAAAATATTGATCGACTTACCTTGCAGTGAGATAAATAATAAATGACATATACTTCTCATGTATCGAGTATAAAATACAAAAATTAGGCAATAAAACACTTGGGTATTATTATCGTGATTTGTCAACTGGAGCGAGACTCGAACACGCGATCTTGAGAGGCGTGTGCATCGTGAAAGACAGCAGGACTATGACTGATAGCAAGATGAGTTTTTCGAATCCCATACATATAATCTTCAAGGCCAGCATTTTTTATTTCAAAATATCGGGTCCAAGTTCCTAGGTCCCCACCTAAGGCACCTGTTACTCGCTTCTCTTCGTCCTTGAGAGAAAAAATCGGTATTATATGTAAGTAATGTAATAACAATCATAATATTAATAATTATAATAATATTCATGCATGTATAATAATGTAACACAACAGTTTACTAGATTTGTAATCAAAGTTTTTGTTACTCACGTGTTACATGCTCCGCGAACTCCATCAAGTCTACTGCTCCCTTTTCAGTGTACCGATCTCGGCTAGGTGGAAAGTACCGAGACCTGTAACCCGGACTTTGATTCGTCAGATGGCGACACAGCTCGTTAATTATTTATTAACATATAATTATTAATAATTATAACTATATTTTACAGATAAGTTTAAAAAAGCAAGCGGATTTTTATAAATTTTATAAATCAACTATTTATTTAAATAAAATTACATTGAGCTATTGAACCTGAACTCGGAGATCCGATACATGATTTTAAATCATGCAAAATTGCTGAAGCAATTAGTAATAATTTTTCATTGAGCTTTATTTTATTTCGTTGAGCGATTGGCTTTTTTTGTAGGATTCTTTGTCGGATGGCAGACCCTTGATTGCGAAGGCACCGCGGAAGAGCGGCTTGAACACCTCCAGGACATTTTCTGTCCTATGAGCAGAGTTCTAAAAAAATTGATTAATTTATTTTATTATTATTCTGATAAATAGAGTAATTTTTATTTAAATTGTTATTTTTTAGGATTTCTTCAACATAACCTAGGACTGGTTAATTTATTTAGAACAATGTGACTTACAAGGATAAAGTTGCCGATCAGTTTACTGATACTTGTCACCAAGGTAAATCCGGCTCCAAAAGCTTTTGAAGGGACCTCCAGTGACACTTTGTTCCTATCAAATATTGGGGTGTCATCAGTGGTCGCCGAGACCTACCATTAGAAAAAAAAATTCATTTCTTCTTTCAATAAAATTACAGTCATCTGACTTAAGAAATAATTCAAAAATCTAGCTTAATTATCTAAGCTGTTAATAAAATAAGTGCTTCCATAGCTAAAAACAAAAAAACAAACTGTGCAATATAACCCAAAAAAGGTAACCCTTAATAAAATGGAACAGGAACAAGGGAAGTAAAGGAACTTAGTAAAAAGAAAAAGCACTACTAATTTTCACTCACATAATTATTATTATAATAAATCATTACTTAACAATTTATATATAATTATTACTCAATAACAATTATATATTTATATTTAATATTATATTTATAATTATTAATAATGTATAAATGTTTTTTTATTTGTTTTCATATAACATCTGCTATTTACATCAAGTGCCAGGGTGTAATGAAGCATTTCACCAAGACACTAGTAATTTACAAAGAAGATAAATGCATGGCAAATTACAACACAATATACAGAACAGGTAGAAAAAAAAAACAATATGAGACGGCGCTGAAAGCTCGAAGCGGTTCCGAACCCACAACGCCATTTGGATATTTGGTGTTACGGATTGAGTATTTTCTGTGGAGTTAATTAATTAACCAGCAGCGGCTATTTCGAATATCCTACCCCACCACCAATGCTCGGGAAATCGCCGATTGAAATTCCCGTTCCTGAACTTGAACCTTCGGAACTTTCCTTTTCATCGTGGGAACCGCCGCCACTCAGTCCTCCTAGTCCTCCGAGACCGCTGCTGCTGCTTCCGCTAAGGCTGGTTACCAAGCTCAAGATACTACCCAGACCACCTCCGGATCCGCCGCCGTCTCCTCCAGAACCACCTGAAGAAAAGTTAGGTCAGTTCCAGGAACAAGTTAGTAATTATTTGATGAGAGTAGTAAAAGTTTACCTGACAATCCGCCGGAAAGTGAACTCAGTGGCGCTAGTTTAGAGGTCACTGCGCCTATTAGGCCCTGAGATTTAGTGGAAATAAATGTGGTGGCACTGTTTATCAGCGGACCAATACCAGCAGTGCCAGCTTGGATTTTTTTACCAACAATGTCGCTTATAAATTCTTTTGTCGCTGATTGTTTCGGGTCTATTCCGTATATGGCGTTTTTTGCTTTGTTTCCTTCATCAAGCGCGCTCAGGGCTTTTGTTTTGGCGTCTAAAAATGAATCTAATTTCTGAAAAATTAAGAATTTTATTTTTTAGTTTTTTATTTTAAGATTGAACGATAGAAAAAATTTATTGAATTATTTTTAATGATACTAAGAGAATTTTTGGAATAGAAATTTTTATAAATTAAAATTATGGGAAGAAATTTTAAACAATTTTAATTATTTTTTTAACTAACAAAAATACTTGAAATTTTATTATAGTTTATAAATTTTTTTTCCCGTAAGATTGAAATTTAATTTTTTTTTTGAAAAATTTGAAGGAACTATATGGAACCTTTAATTTCAAGGCTTCAGTAGCCCAATCTATTAACCCTGACCCAAAAAAAAACTGATCAGATAAAAACAAAATAATCTATTCGATTTTTCCTCCATTGAAATAAAGATTGTGAAATTTTTCATAATCATGCGTTTCGCTTGCCAATGACTTGATTACCGAGAAAGTACTAAGTAGGCTTTAAAAAATAATGAATTTAATGCTTTATGATCTTCAAAACATATTTAAATGTGTGTTTATACCGTATTAGGCACGCTCAGAGCTTTCCTTACTCAATAACGCGGTTATAATGTTTATTATAATCCTAATGGCTCGATAAAAGTACAAATAAATAAATACTTACACCAAATACAAAGTTGATGATACCATTGGAAACTCCCAATTTAATAACACCTATTTTTCTCTTTTCTCTGTCTCCATGCGGCTCCTCGTCCAGCGTCTGCTCGTTTTCGTTCTGAAACACATACACCTAAAGAAAATATTAAATCTAATTAGAAAATTAATTTTTTTTTGTTTCAGAAGCAGTTAATTTTGAAAAAGCATGCAGAAAAAAAAATTTGTAAAATACTTGCACTAAAACTCTTCAGCTCTACTCATTTTGATAGAATATTATTAACAAGGAGTTATTCAACTACAATCAATATTAAGAGTACCTTGACACTATTTCTTCACATGTTTAAATAAAAACGTCAAGTTTACGTATAAACATTTGTACAAAACGCTTAATTGATCATTACTCATTCAGAAAGTAAGTAAAATATTTTACGTAATAATCGTAGCTAATAGTTTTTGAAAAGTTAAGTTTGAAAAACATTTTTTTTATTTCGGTAAATTAATATCAATTTGAAAGTATTAAGCTGACGAAACTTTTAATTTTACAGACTACTTTTACTTGTAATTTTTATCAATTTTATAGAGACTTTTAATAATTGCAATAATTTTGATATTAAATATGTTGAAATACGCTTGTAATTTTTATTAGATCTTTTAAACTTATTATTAATTTTATTAACAAACTTTTCTAAATTTTTTTAGAAAAGTTTGTCTAAATCAAATTTTTTTTTCTAAAATTTAAATTTGAAAAAATCTAAGAAATAATTATATTTTTAAATTTATTTTTAACTTAATATTTCTTCTTATAATTTAAATTTAAAAAATAATCTCAAACTTTTAAAAGCGACACTAATATAGTGATTTTTTTTTTTTTAAGAAAAAAATTTTTCTGTAAATAAAAATATTAATTTACCAAAATTATCAATATCAATTGTTCAAAAATTCCAATAGATAATAAAATGAAAACTAAAATCACGTGGACATCATACATTGTAGGAAACGTATAGCAGTTCGAAAGGTGGACCAAACATACTTTCACTCTCAACTCGCTCTTTAATGCTCGTTGGGTATAACTCTCGTTACATCCGATCGGTATAATAGCAAAATAATTATTTTTAAAAAATCCGTGGCACGTGGCATTGCAACAATGCAAAAAAATATTTCTTCATAACTATAATTAATAAAAATAAAATATCAAATAATCACTCACCTCATTTAAAGGACTTAGATCATCAGTTTCTCTTTTAAAGACAGGACTGCATTTAACGAGACTGACAGCTATAAGTCCGATAATAATTAATTTCATTTTTCCTCAGAATTCAATACAAAATTACCTGGAAAAAAAAAAAAATAATCAATTAATTAAATCATCGCGTAGGATTCAGTCCTTGAAGAAACGGCCGGAGAATGTCACCATTAAAGGGCATTTAATTTATTGTAAGTAAAAAAATTTATAATCAATCATTAATTATTTAGATAGTATTAAAATAGATTATTAATTAAAAAATTAATTATTACTTACAGGTGAAGAAAGTGCAGCTGAATCGCGAACCTGCCGGAGAGTTCGATGCGTGCCAGACGAGGTGCAAGACTCGTTTGCGGTCGACGGCGAACAGACCCGATTGAGATGGCCTGAGTCGTTACAAGGGGATTGGATATGATAGGAATAGTATTATATCGTTCGCTGAAGAAAAAGATCCTCGTTCAGTTCCAAAGAAGTATATGCCTCTGCGTAAGTATATCTGTATGTTGATATTCATGCATATATGTAATGTGTGTGTTTAGCAGTTCTAGGTTCAATAAATTTGTTGATTGAAGGCCGTATTAATAATATTTATAATATAAATTTGAATAATACAAGAGTTGCTTAATAGCGATAGAGAAGATGGAGAAGGCTCATAGATTAATAGTCGAGATTTTATGGGAGATCGTCGAGCCGACACGACACAAGACAGAAGACAGAATGTGAGATTGCTTTTGCCGCGGGTTTTAATAACCGCCTGGATGAAGAAATTAAGAAGGAGATGGTTTGCCTTAGGCTTCTTTTTATTATTATTATTAAATTAATAAAATCTTTGTTTTAACTACAGATGTTAGCTAGGTCTAGGCTATTATTTTCGCTTAGGTTTTATTTTAAATCGTGTAGATTCAACTAGTACACGAGATTACGTAATTGTAATTTATTTATTTGGTTTTTATAAATATGGTTTTATGTTTTCGTTTGTTTTATTCGACGGAGTATTATGTTTTATATTGCAGATTATGTATGACAATTTATATTGTGTAAGAGATATGTTGACAGACGTTCTAGTATTTAGTATTATATTATGGTCTTTGAATATGTTATTTTTTTTTTTTGTGTTTATAGTTATTAATGCTGCGCACGGTTCATCGTGGAAAGGATCAAGGATTGTTGTAGTTGCATAATTATCAGACGAAAATATGCTTGGTTGTTTAATGGGTGATTGGAGATTTTTTTTTGGAAAATTTAGAGTTCATAATTAATTTTTTTTTATTTTATGAAGTTTTTATATTTTTAATTTTTATATAAATTAGATTAATTTTTTTTTTTAATTAATTTTTACTTTTAATAATTTTAGAAATTTAAACTTAAATTAATAATTTGAAAAATTTTTTAAATTTTTTGACAAAAATAAATTTTCTAAAAAAAATTTTCTCCAAATCAAAACACGATAATTCATTACCGATAAAACTGATTGATTAGTGGTGCCTCCATATAAAAGCATAGAACAGATTGATACCAAACTCGCGCGGTAACTTTCCAGAAAAAAAAGTAATAATAAAACAAACGATAACAATAAAATAAAAATACATAAAATGAAGATAGAGAAGGAGAAGCTTGAACTAAGCGAAAGCAACTTATTTTTAAATCTCAACTTTCCAATAAGTTTTAAAAAAGGCTACTCTTATATTACAAGAGCAAGGATTGAGATTAAGATTGAGGATCTAGGACACTTTGCCGATAATCTTACATAAGACAATAGGAAATACCATATATACATACAAATACTGAAAATCATTTCTTACCTTACGGGATTTTCCACTCGTTGGTTCGCTAATTTATTATCACTTCTTATTCAATATCAATTTTACAGCTTGCACTCGTTTGTTTTATAAATTATATATAATTTTAATTCTTATAATTATATTACACTTAATTAAGCTCTGAAATATTTTTTTAGTTTTTATTTGTCAACTTTTATCTACTGTGTACGCACAACACACATGTTTGACACTCGCTCTAAGACTGCCGTTGAATAAAGAAAGTGGAAATTCGATAGCCGGAAATACTATCATAAGTAAAAGACGTCACTGACAAATCATAAGATTTAAAAAGTAACCCATCGAATAAAATAACTCCAAGCGTATCTATCATAAAATTATCTCAGTTATTATTTAAATTGCATAAATATTAATTAGAGACGCGTGTAAATATATTTTTGAAATTGCGCAAAAGAGAGCGTGATCAATCAATCGCGGTTTATTTTTATTTCCCAGCTACAGAAGTAATAATAATAATAATAATAATAATTAAACATATAATATAATAGTTCATTTCATAATAGCGTTTAATTATCGCAATAAAAAAAAATTAATTAACAGCACCGACAAATTTATAAATATTTTTAATTTTTTACATAACACGTGCGAGTGTGTTACGATGCATAATATAATACTTTTTACCTCATCTGTTGACGATCCAAGTACTTTCTCCGATTGAATGCTTCTGATTAGTCTCCATTGATTCGATTAAGTCTGAAAAGTATTTATTTATATTATAAATGAAGTAATGTAACACTATTGATTAATCCTCGGTATGATTTAATCACTACCTTTCACCTTTTTCAGAAAAGAAATTACCAAGCGCACATTAGGACGAGACACATCATCTTCTTCTTGTTTTTGAAACTAAAAATGTCCTGGTGTGGTAGATGCGAATAGAAAGTTCCTGATATCAGGCCGACTTATGCAGTTTGCCTGCATGAATATTAATTAAAACTATTGAGCGTGCAACGATTAAATAGAAAAAACAAATAAATAAATGGATGTAGGATGCCCAAGACCTTCGACCTTGTCGAGTTACCAACGACCTTACTGAGCTATGTCGACCTTTCACTTGTCGATCCGAGCCATCCTTTAGATCCCAGATGTTATAAAAAGGTCAGCTAACTTGTTTGGTTTATCTTGATCAATTGATTGTCTATTATTATCATTTTATTTTATACAATCATTTATTATTTTACTTCAAAGGTTTTTCTTTGATGATTTATTGAAGAAATAATTAATTTATGATTTTATTAATGAACTTTGTATTTAACGCAGATTTTAGATCACATTCTGGTATTTTTTTTTTTTTTTTTTTTTTTTTTTTTTTTTATAAAATTGACCTAAATCTTGAGAAAAATTTCAATTTTAAAATTTTAAATTAAATAATTAATATATTAATTATTTATTTAATTTTAAAAAAAAATTTTTGTTGAAGAAAATTAAATTTAATAAAAAATTTTTAACCTGAGTTATATAAATCAATTTAAAAAAAATTTTTCATTAATTTTTAGCTATAAAATTTAAGCAAAAAATAGAATGAATTTAAGTCTTGTTATCTTTACGGATCGAGTAATAAAACAAAGTATAATGTAAAGTAATAATATTTAGTATGGTAATGTTAACAAGTGATTTTCTTATCCTAGTGCCCAAAGGTGTTTGTAGTTTATGATATTTTACTATTATTGTGCATGCGTGAGCCGCGTTCTAGTTATTACAGTTATGATCTCGCAATCTTGGCTGGGCATAAGCCACAGAAGCCATTCAATGTCTGTCTGAAGTGTATTATATTATATGTACATACACGTGGATGTAAAGTAGCTTGCTTGGTACATTACAACGTATTATTGCATCGAGAAAAAGCTGCCGAGATTTTATAATTGATGCAAGTCAATGACCCGGGATTGAGACCCGGATTGCTACAGAATTTAGAGAAAGGAATTATATTTTGATTATTTTTTTTATTATTAATATTGCTGACCGGTCAAGTAAAAATTTTTTCCTTTAAATTTTTTTTGCATGATTAAAAAAAAATTCTTCAAATTGATTTTTTTTTTTTTTAAAAAAAATTAATATTTTATAATAAAAAAATAATAATTATTGTTTTTTTTAAAACTAAAATATAAAAATCGCTAATTTCAAAATATTTTCAAAGAATTACACACTTATTAATTTAATTACTGCCATTAATATAATTATTAAATTTTTTAATAAAAAAAATAATCAAAGACTCGGGGAATTTTTTACATTAAAGAATAAATATTCATGAAAGAATAATAAATAATTCGCAAAAAATAACGAGGTCAGTGAATCGTCTCTAGTTCGCCTTCAAAGACAGACACGATTATTATTACATATTAATATATTTAACCTCAAGCCATTAGATGGATGATTCGCGATCTTCGGTTTTGAAATAGCGATATTACGATACAAATAGATTGGATGCATAATTAAAATTAAAACCGGGTAAAAAGCAATTTCTTAATAATAAAATAAGACACAACTAACAAATAACTAACAAAATCAGCATATCTGCCGAATTAATGGCGTGTTTAGATAATTTACCGCCGTCTAGATGTCATTTGTGTATTTAAATATTAATCTATTGCACAATATAATTTTAATGTAAATAAATTAACTGCTTTCACGTGTGATGAACAGATCTCAAAATTTACAACCCGTAATTTATTTTTTTCTATTCGTTTATTATAATTTATTTTTTTCAATTTTTATTGCGAAAGATGTTTACTCGCAGATAATATAATTTCGCAATTTATTAATATTTTTGCTAATAATAAATATGTTATTTATTTTCAGATTCAGCAACTTAATTGAGTGGTGAACCGAAGAAATGTTTGTTCCACTTAGTGGGATTAACTATTAATTATAATTGATGTAAAAATATAAATTTGATGGTCTTAAAAATTACCGATTGTTTAAAAGCAATAAAACAATAAAATAAGCAACAACAATCACAATAAATGTTAAGCGACGTGATGAGTGAAAAGAAAGTATAATGGCTTGATAAATATTAAATAAATATGTCCGTGAGAAAGTCAAAAGATCAAGAATCAAGATGCTGTTGATGAAAGTGGTAGCAATATTTATTTTATTTATTTACCTTATTACTCAAAATATTCATTATTTTTTTTATTATTTTAAATTATAGAGATATATATATATATATATATATATATAATGTATAATAAATTATAAATAGTGTAAAGTATATTATACATGCAGTATAAGATTAACACGTAACATGTTGATAAACGTAATGATAGGCGTGGTTGAGAATCTATTGCTCGGAAGTGATACCACCGAATGCAAGATACATAAGAGTTTGCCTAATGTACCACCTTTACTATTACTCTTATTCTTATTATTACAATCACTACTTCCGTGTCACCCGGACACGGTATGTTGCTTCACACGTCAGTGGTCACGCGACATATTCTGTTATATATATTTACATTTAACTCATAATTCTAAGAATCGATTTCTTCTTTTATAAAAAATTTAATTTTATATTTTTCAATTTTTAAAAAATATTTATTAAATTTTTTTATCTAATTTAAGGACAACTAACCAGAAGCTTGGGTATAGTGACCTGTTGGTGGTCCGTAAGAAGGAGCAGGTGGAGAATCGCTGGACGCTGAAGAAGCTCCTACGACTCCAAAGACCGCATTGATCACTGTAGATACCAGGGAAATTCCACCTCCCAGAAGCTCCTTCACTGTGTTTCCTATTAAACTCAGAGGATTTACTGTATTTGCAGGTACTCCATACTAAAACAAAATTTTTTATTAAAATTTAAATTTTTTATTAAACTTTTAATTTTTTATGATAAAGAAGATATTACATTTCCATTATTGTTCGCTGCAGCTGGAACTAATCCTGTGTGTTGATTATAAGGATAAGGGCTCGGTGGAGTAGGACCAGGCCTGAATTGCTGAGTTTGACTCGCGGGTCGCGACGGAGCCGCGAATTGTTGGTACTGAGGCCGGTACTGCTGGTGCTGAGGGTAGTTTGAAGCTGATTGTTGGTACTGCGGGTAGTTAGAAGTGGGCTGCTGATTTTGAGGGTACTGTCCTGGGGGTTGTTGATGCTGATATTGCTGATATTGCGGAGGAGGTACGTAAGGTCTTGCTGTTGATCCTATATTTACTGTCGCTGCTTGATTGTTTGGTCGTCTCTGAAATTTTTTGATAATTTTTATTTGTAAAATTTTCTTTAAAATTTAAACTTATAAAAAAATTTTCAAATACTTTATAAAATTTATTAACTGTTAATAATTTTTTATTAGATAATTTAATAAATATTTAAAATAAGAAACAAATTAATTTATTAATAGTTAATAAATTCTTCCAGTGCAGAATATTTATTTTTCATAATTGCCTCACAGAGGCTATCGTAAATTCCTTTAATTTTAGCCAACAAGTTAGCCATAAAAGTTAGTTTGTAGAGTCTTTAATATATTTTGATTTAATATAAATTGTTCCAAAAATTTCTAAAATACCTAAGCTAGTTAAAAGTGATATTATCAATAAGACGAAATGAAATATTTAAGTAAATGTGGTGCTAGAACCAGAGCTTTAAATAACATCTAAGATGCAGATTTGATTTTAAGAAACTGTGATGAAAAAATTGTAAAAAACAGTTCTTACTGTTGTACAATGCAAAATAAATATCTATCTCTAGTTAATAAATTCTTTTAGTGCATATAAAATTACTGAAGAAAGTTTTTAAATAAATTATTGTCGAATTTATTATAAAATAAATCTTACAATAATAAAAGGACTATTTAAAGGCGGTCCTGGTGATGGTCTTCCAGGAAAAATAACATTGTCATTTATTGAAGAAGCTGGTCGTTGAAGATTCTAAAAATAAATTAACAAATTAATTAATTATTAAGAATCAAATAATGAAAAATACTTACAGCACCGTAAGGTTGAGCTTGATCATGAGGAGCATTAGAATCCGAAGAGCCGCCACTCAATCCTGCGCTAGTTCCTGAGATTACTCCGGTCAAGACAGCTCCAACAAGAGCTCCAACATCTAATCCTCCCGGCAGACCGGGTTTTAACTCCTAAAAAGCCGTATAATAATAAAATAAAAATATATCAATTAACGGATAAAAGTCTGACTTTTTAAAAGTTTAAAAGAGATTAAATAATAATAAAAGTTAACCCGTAATAGCGCGGCGGCTGTTCCGGCAATTACTATGGCAAGAGGAGACATCCCGCTGGGCTCTTGTGGCTGAAAAATATAATAATATAGTATTCTAATGTCACCTCGTGAAATACTATCATAAATATGTCGCTATAAAATTATGAAAGAGCGATATTGGAGTTTATTAGCATGACAGTTGAATTTTATACTTTGATAGTTTAGATCTTGAGCAATCGTTAATTGTTTTTATGGATACTTATGGATATATTACCGTACTAAGAGGTCCTGTGATTGCTGCAAGCAATGCACCCAAAGAAGATCCTTCGGTCGGAGGCTACAAACGGTTTTAATTATTTTTTTTTATGAGTTATCATTTTTTTTTAGTGTGAGTTTATATTTACATTACTGATTGATCGCACGAGGGGTCCGATTACCGGGGCGAGTACTGGCCCGATAAATGGCGCCAGGAGACTGAATATCGGTCCGATTAATGCGCCAAGATCTATTCCTTGGCCATCTGGTCCCTGAAATTATTAAAGAAGAATTAATTTTTTTTCAATATTGAAAGAAGAAATAAAAATTTAGATGATGTATGATTTAATTTAATTTTTAAAAATTATCATGAATTTTATATTGATAGAAAAATTTATAAGAAAAAATAATAATTATTAAAATTTAATTTAATTTAATTTAATTTTTAATTTAATTTAATTTTTATATCAAGAAATTTTTTTTTATTAAAATTTTATTTTTTTTTTTTTCATTAAAATAAAAAAATTTTTAATGAACAGCAAAAAATTATTTAATTTAAAATTTTAAATTATTTTGATATAAAAATTTATTTTTTATCAAAAATTTTATCTCTGAAATTTTTTGAGCTGAAAAAAAAAATTAATTTTTTTATTAGAGTCTGTTATATACAAAATAATTATTTTGGGAAGTAAAGTAGTAAAATAATAATAATAATAATAATTGAATAAATTTTTCACAACTTTTACATTCTAAATTCCTGAACTTCCTAAAAAAATTATCTAAAATTACGTTACTTTCACTCGCATTGGCAAGTTCATCAGAACTTATACTCACATTAATAATTTTAGTAACCACAGGAACGATCATATCAATTAATTCCTTCGCCCCGCCATTCCCGTCTTCATCAGGCTGGAATCCAAAGTAAATATAATCATTAGAATAATTACCAGAATCATGCATGGGATAATGAACAAGTTACCTCGGAAAGACCTGCAAGAATCGGAACACCAGCTTGGAGAATTTCAATTAAGTCTGCATCGCTCTCAGGCTGCAATTGTAATTAGTAAATCAATCAATCAATCAATCAATCAACAGATGGTGTGAGAATAAATAATGATTTATCATTAACTTACATCACTGAGATCTTCGAGAATGGGCAGCGCAAGGGGCAGCAAGTCTGCGACGGAGCCAAGAGATCCTCCGTCTTCTTCCTCGTCGTCATCATCCAGCTCATTTTCAAACTCCTGTCGCTGGAAGGAATCTTCGCTCGACGGCCGGGGAGGCACCTACGACAAAGTAAGTCTAAACTATAACATCAGGAATATAATGAAAAGAAAGTATGAATTGTAACTAGTGATAATATTATTTAATCAACCGCGACAGCTTCGGGGACTATAATAAAGAAAATCTTTATTGTATGTAGAATGCGGCCCGGATTACGTATGCATGAGTGCCGTCTAAAGTCCAATAGCTCGTTGCATAATTTGTGCTTCTGCCCTCAGTCTTCTTGATTGATCTTCCTTGATGAGTAATGGATCAATAACTTCTATGTCAACGTTCAAATTATAAATTGAAAGTTTTCTTTGGAAATTATTATAGACTAGGAAGACTATTTTTTTTTAATATGTATAATTTAGATTTGGAATTTTAAATTAGAAATATTTTATGTCTCTGTTATACAGATGAAAATTATTTTATTTGAACTACTTTACTTTTAAAAAATAGAAGAAAACTTGGATTTTTAATTTAAAATTTTTGTATTATTTAAATTATTAATTTTATGGAAGTTTTAAGATAAATTGAAAAAATTTTTAATAATTTAATAACTATACAATCTAAAATAAAATTATTTGAATTTTTTACTTTAAAAAAATAGAAGAAAACTTGGATTTTTAATTCGAAATTTTTTTATTATTTTAACTGTTAATTTTAAGATAAATTGAAAACATTTTTAATAATTTTTATATCTTTACATAACATAGTAAATTAATTTTTTTTATTTGAATTTTTTTACTCTAAAAAAATAGAAGAAAACTAAATTTTGAACTTATAATTTTCATATTCTTCCTTAAGTAATTTTTGCAAAAAAATTTAAACTCTAATTTATTTAAAAAGCTTTAAAAAATTTATCTAAGAAAAACTATCAGAATATTTTTACTTTAAATTCAATTTACAATTGAAAAAACATCTCAAATTAGCCACATTATGACCTTCCAACATAAGTTTCTCAAATAATTTTCACAAATCCAAAATTTCGACTAATTAAAACTCCAAGTAATCAATCAAATCAAAAAAGTCATCAGGTATACAAAAAAAAAATTCAAAAAACTCCATAATAATCTCAATAATCTTTATTTATTCAACATTATTCAATACAATTCAACTTATCTTTTTCTTATCCACTAAACTAACAACAAACTTAATACAAATCACAAACTTACTTCGCCAAACGCAATGGGTGGTCTCAAAGGTTCTTCCCTAGGCCTTTTGGACTTGGTCCCGGCGGTGGTGGTAGCTGCTCCTTCAATCTTGTTCTTGTCAGGCCTCCTGGTCAAGCCTAGGGCCTCCAGCAAGTCTCCAAGAACGGCGATTTGCCTCTTGCGAGCACTCTCTTTCTTCTTGCCATCATTCTTAATATTCGTCGAAACTTCAACTTCTTTCTTCGCGTTAGATTCTTCATGCTCATCCGAATCTTCTTTCTGGACAGTTTCTTCGTCTCTAGTTATCGTGATGAATGCTTCAAATGGAATGGCAAAGGGAATAGCACCCGAATCTCCATTATTGGAATCATTTCTCTCCGTAGAGCTTCTGCTCTCAATCTTTACAGCTCTCGGTGCCGGAGTGGTAGTACTTGTCGTCGTAGTAACTTCCTGACGGATGTTTTGGAAGAAGTTCTTCCTTATATCAAACCCAGCAGTGGGCAGCGCGTACCTGCTGCCCAAATCTCCGACAAAGAGCGGCAAATAAGCGTCCGCATTGATGACCGGAGGGAACACATCATTTCCGTAGGGGAACCAGGGATTTTCAAACCCTGGAACGGGAAGACTTCTGGTGATAGGCAGCTTCTCAGTTTCTTCTTTTGGTTTGAGCACCATTTTGCTCTCGCTGACTTGGCTAACTTGGGGCTTGCTTTCCGAATTCTTCTGATCAGCAACCGCTGAAGAATCCGCGGCCAACGTGATGTCAATTCTTGAGGCCATTGTCTGCATCGCGTTCTTCACCCACGCGACCAAATCCTCCATCGAAGTTATCTTAACTGGCAATTTTATCTCGACGTACTTGGAACCCGTCCTTTGGTCCTTTTCACGCGTCCTACTGATGTTCGCAGGCACTGCTTTTACTAGGAGCACATTTACTGTCACTAACAAAAACACCCACTTAAATTTTAGCCAATTCATTTTATTTTTTTATTAATCCCAAGGCACAACGCTAGTACTATCGAAATCGAACAGTGTCTGAAAGTGGTGTATTTTTTCCTCGGGTTTTATATCAATCTAGTATCGAATTGAAGGATAGAGGTGGCTAATAAGGACCTTTGGGTCTTCCTCGAACATCACGCTTGAAAACGCTTATTTTCCATTTACCAACGTAACATACAGCCCAGGAATTGTACAACTACTTCCGTCGTCATATTTCACTGGTTTCACTGATGTTATGTTTTGTTATATATTATATTGTAGCGATATGTTGATAGAAAATTCGATTACGGAAATGAACGAAATTTTAAGTTTTTAAATTAGTATGATGAATTGGCGATTATTTATCGGGGATTTTTTATTACCCAGATGGTTTTTATTTTTGTAAGAGATTTTAATGAAGTTAATCATGAGAATGTTGCGAGTATATTTTACGTTATTTAGTTTGTCACACAATTGTCAACTGAGTTTTGCTTGTGTTTAAATGACTGTGACTAATTGGTCTGGTTGGGTAGTTACTCAACTGACAGTTACAATTTTCCTGTTCATCATAGTAAAATAGGATTAATTGTGAGAGTTTTGCGTTCGACAATTTGTTTAGTATATGAAATTTTTTAGCTTAGCAATCATTTGTCGATGAATCATTTTCTTTGTAAATGAACATTTGGTGAAGAAATATAAGTATAAATATTAAAATTTTTTAATAAATAAATTACAGTAAGAAAAATTTATTAAATAAATTTTATGTTTAGAAGCTCTAAAAAAGTATAAATGCAATTTTTTTAAAATAATTTATAGACTTAGATTATTTTTGAATAAAAATCAAAAAATTGTCCACCATTTTAATTGTCATTTTTTTGAACGAAATTTTTATTTGATTTTATTGATGTATTTTTTTTTTAAATACATAAAAAAATAAACAATTAAAATAAAAATTGATTATCACAATTTTAACAAATTTTTCAAATTTTCAAAAAAATTTATAAATTTTTTTGAAAATTGTGATATTTAACTTTTTTTTTCTTTTTAATTGTTCGTTTTTTATGTACTTAAAAAAAAATATATCAAAAACATAAAAAAAAGATAAAATAGAAATTTTATCCAAAAACATGAGCCAAAATTTTTTCCAAGTTTTAAAGGTAAAAAAATTATCGAAATCTTTATTTTTTTTTACGACATTTTTTATCATAAATGCGCCGTAAAAACAAGCAGAAAAAAAAAATTTGAAAATGTTAATTTTTCATCTAGATATGGCCAAAAATAGGGTGGACCCCACTTGTAAATAATTACCAAATCTCTTTTAAAGTTCTATTTCTTCATGAAAATTAAGTTAGCCGACATTTAAAAATTTTTAGAATTTTTTTTATTGAAGAAATGATTACAAAAAAATAAACAAAAAATTTTCACTTGTATTAAACTTTAAAAACTGTAAGTGCAATTTTTTAAAAATATTTTTTTTTCTCATTTAATTATTTAAAAAAAATCAAAAAATTGAAATTGTCGGCTAACTTTAGTATTATTATTTCTTCTCAAAACTCCAAAATTACTGCTTATAATTCAGAATCTCTCTCCTGAATAAATTATAAAAAAAGTCATCATCCTAAAAATGAAAAAAGTATTAGGTAATAAAAAATGTAGTTTTCCTCTTACTAAAAATTAATATTAATTATCAGAAGAGATGAAATATTTCCTGGTGATCTGATACGTATATAAGATCGTATTATGATTAATAATCAATTGACATGATATTTCCTGCAACCATTATTTCTCAAAACATATATTTATAATAATAATTATAACATTAAATAACTACCACATAATTTCCTTATTAACTCGTTAAAAAGTGTTGTATAATTGAATGAAGAAAAAGTATATCAAATAAAACGGGCAATTATGACCGCTTAGAAAAACTACTTGCATAAATTAATCGATTTGAAATAAAAACCCAATGACACCACTGATACTACATTAATTACGATATCACATCTTTCGTAATATCTCATACTTGCGATAACTGATTTCCCAATAAATCTTTCGTAGTTTTTTTCCTTCCTTGAGGTTATAGTTTCTAGTCAGTGGCGCTGCCTGTACTCTGGTGACAGCCGGGTGAATCACAGCTGACATATCCTTGGTCCTCGTAAATCGGTCCCTGAATAAGATTCACCACTTCCAAAAACGTCAATCCTACGAAAAATTAATAGCTTCTCTACTTTGTTCTGATAGCGAATAAATTCATCTGATATATTGTTCAATTTATCCTTTGAATACTAAGCAGCTGCAAGGTCGACAACAATCTCAACAGTTATTTTTAAACTTAAGAGTTAATAATTGTAATTATCCTGCATTAGACACTTATCAATCTCAGTTATTATTTTTATATTCTTCTTTGTATTAGCTATAGCCGGCTTTCTCATTTTTAACCTAAAAATTAGAATAGATGTTTTTGTTCTGCAAAGTGCTCTGAGAAACAGGAAGATCACAATTTTAGTGCACGCAAAGTAACATTAAATGACAAATGATTGACTCTGTAATTATTTTATCCAATTGCGTGAGTTTTACATACATTTTATTCAATAATAATTACATAAACCTTGATTTTTATTAATTTTTTCTGACTTTTGGAAAATTTTTTCTAACCTTTTTTTATCGCACCTTACATTACAACTTTTTTTTTTTTTTTGCGATAAAATAAGTTACAAATATATTTTCTGGATTATAAAATACATTAAAATTAATAAAAATTAAGCTAGCCAAAATTAAAAAATTAAATAATAAAAAAAATTTCATATGTAAAATTATTGAAGATTTATAAGTGCAATTTAAAAAAAAAAATAATTTTTAGTTATAATTTGATGAATGAAAAAAAATCAAAAAATTAAAAACGTCGACTAACTTGAGTATTAAAAAAATAAATTTATCAGGTATTTAATAATTTTTTTCACAAATAAATTATGACCAAAAAAATTGACATGTAATGAAATTTAAAAAAACTAAAAATGCAATTTTTTACCAAAATATTTTTATCAAATAAAATTAATAAACTACTAACTTAAATATTATATAAAATAAAGATAACCTAAATGAGTGAAGAATTTTATTAGTGATTTTTTCACCAATAATAAAAATTTTTTTACCGCAAAGCCTCGATCTATTTACTAGAAAAAAAAATGAATCTGCAATTGCGGGTAAGTATAAACAATTTATAATCGGTATATATTAATTATTAATGATACGCTGTTTTATATTTATGTTCTTTTAGGAATGTCGATATGGCGTAAAAGTGGTCCTTCTAAAATAAAAAGTGTAAGTGTTTACTGTTTTATATTTTTATTTAGTAATCTAAGTCTAGAAATGTTCCTTTCTTCCTTCTCAGATCTGGAGTCAAAGCTACTGTTAATATATCGTATAGTAGAGGTGGTGGTTAAAGACTCCTCCTGCTAATAAAAGCCGCTCACTAGGCGCCTTCACATACAAACAGTCACAGACAGCCAGAGCACGTGAGCTTCATTACACTAACTATTAATTAATTAACTATTTATTAATTTATAAATTTAACCAAAAATTATTAACAGAATATTCGGCAATTTCTAAATTAGAATTCATAAAAATTGTTTTAAATTGGTTAATTTATCTCAAAATTTACATACCAGTGAGTGAATACCAGTGAGTGGCCATGAGGCTGTTTATGTTAATTCCGTGTCTAATTGTTGCGGTTAATTGCCACCCTTTGGCGCGGGATGAGTACAATTCCCAGGTAAGCGCAATTTTTAGTGAAATATTATTCTAAGATAATGGTTTAATTTTATTTAATTGATGGTGAGATTTAAATCATAGCATATTAGTGTCATATACTTTCACTTGCGTTAAATATGTTTGCTGGACACTTTCTTCCATAGACTCTTCGCAGTGGAAAGTAAACCCAGCATCTTTATGATTCTTTATTCTTTTTATGACCTAGTTTGTAATTTACATGTTTTATTGCTTGGAAACTGGAATTTTATATTATAAATTATTATTACTTATACTTGCATCTCTAATTTTCGTTTTCTTTTTAGGCATCTGGTTTGGCGCTGATTGAGGAGAACAATGATGCTGCGTTGAGGAGTAAGAGAACTGTTGGTGTTCTGAGACAGTTTTTCCCCGAAATTACTGAGGTAATGTTTCTGTAAATAATAATTAAATTATTTAAAATTAATGATATTGAATTTAGCCGACATTTTTTTCAACAAATAAATTATTATAAAGTAGTAATTTATTTTTTTTCAAAGTCCAAAAAATGATAAATGTTTGCTAACTTTAGTTTCATTTAAATTCAGACTTCAGGGTTGTAATTTTTATTTATTCCTTCTTTTTTTCACTAATACAGTCAACTCACGATAATTTGAAACTTAAGGGACCAGAGATAAATTTCAAATTGTCAAGAGTTCAAAATAACAAGCGTTTAAATGCTTTTGTAATAAATTAAGGGACTGGAAAAAATTTTTAAATTATCAAGAGATTCAAATTAACGAGTGTCAAATTATCGAGAGTAGACTGTAATTCAATTTTAGAATAAAATTTCTAGTTTATAAAAAAAATTATTAAATTTGCATTTAATTAATTATTAATTAAATTTTACTAAATATTAATTATTAACCATATTTTTATATTAATAACTTTACAACCCTAGTAGACGATAGTTGACCTAAAAATGAAGTAAAAAAATAGGTTATAAGTAGAAATAATAAAAAATTTTAGATGATTGATAATATAGTCAACAAGATAGTCTCCGAGGTGATAAAAGTAGTGGGTCCAACCGTAATACAGGACGTACTTGGAGGAAACCGAAGACAAAATAACGGAAATTCAAAAACAGAAAGCGAAGGCAGTGAAGTAACAATAGAAGTGCCAGCCGATTTCTTCGAAGACTCTGAAAGCGATTCTGACGTAGCGGACATTAATAACAAGGATAATTTTGGTAAAGTTAATATCCCGTTGCCGACCTTCGAGACCACCCAAGTTACCGGCAAGGGAATCGGTAACGTGGAGGAAGGACTTACCACTGAAGGTCGAGTTCAGTTAAATTACCTAGATCACTACACGGCATCGGTCATTAAAGAGTCATTACTTTTTCTCTACTTATTTTTTCTATCACCTCGGAGAACCTGTGTTTAACAACTAAGCCATTATTAACCATCTGAAGCCATGCAGATTCAGTGTCATTTTGTGTTTTGTGTATTAACTTTTTTTATTTTTTTATTATTGATCATCAGATCGTTGTTTATTATTTACTAATATTAAATTTTGATTTTAGAACCGACGGGCACTCCACCAGGATCTGGATATAGCCGAGTCAGAGAACAAGGAAGTAAGAGTAGCGTTCGACGATTCAGATCTCGCGACAAACGAAGCTGGAGCGGATCTCACCTCTCTGGACAATATCGAAATCGGAGACGACGAGAATCGAAACAAAAGATTTAGTGGCGGAAATGGAGAGTCTGGAGGCAGTGGCGGGGGATCTGGCAATTTTATTTTTGATATTATTAGAGTAAGAATTATTATGATTATTTTTATAACAAGTAATTATTTTATTTTGTGAAAGACATTTTATATGAAACATATTTTTTTTTGAAACTATAGTTTCTAAAGAACAGAAAAATATCTTAATCGTCAACTACAATAAAAAAAATTCAATTAACAAATTCCACTTGTGAAAATTATATAAAATTATTAGTGGTAATTTTTTAAATAATTTTTTTATTGTAATTGATTTTTTGTTAAAATTTAAAATTATCAGCTAACTTTACTATCATATTTTTATTAATTAATTTTACTATTCAATTTTATATAAAAAATTTGCGTTATATCTTCTTTAAAAAGTGAAATTTTGTAAATTTATATTTTTTATAATTGAGAAGAAGATATTAATAGCATTGTTTTTTTTTCAGTTGATCGCAGGCAGTGGATCATCATCAACACCAAGTGAAGATCATACCCATGGAAAACACGAACCCGATGAAGCAGTTCCCGGACCAGCGACACGATTTTTAGTGATCGCTAACCGAGGAATTGCGAATCTGATCCAAGATCTTATTCTCGTAAGTTTCGCAACCAGGAGGATTGAATTAGTTAATTTTATAATTAAATGATTTAATTCATACAATGATACTCTATCAATAGTTTTGCAATAGATTATGATTTATTTAGAAATTTCGCTCGCGGGTACAATTATAAAGAACGATATAATTTGAAATTCATGATTAGATTCCTCTTGCGGTGACATATTTTTAATTATGTATAAAATTTAGTCTCGGTATTTCCTATAATTTTTTGTCTTGTCTTGTAATTACTAAATTATAAATTAATATATAGAATTGTTGAGTATGAACAACCGGGTCGACAGCCGTTCTACATATATTAAACGTGAATTGTGCAATGGCGGTAGGTCGAATCGATGGAAAGCAAAAATGTTGCCGTACAGACTTTCTCTATTAAATAGCGTCTGACTTGTGTATGACCACCAGTACTGATCTGGAGGGGTGCGTTACGCAATAAGGCTAGTCTCCAGTTAAAGCTTAGGTGGGTCGAGAGTAAGAGACAAGGGGTAGCATTTATATGTGATAATGATAACAGAAATTAATTAAATCTATGAGTAAGAATTAAATGAAAGTGAGTAACTGTGAGGTAATTTATATTTATATTTATATACTAATTAAAAATTTATTTTTCAGCGCATTGCGGCTACAAGCGAGCGATTCGTCAACTTCAAAGCGCGACTGATTACTTCGATCATCTGAGGAAGTCTAGGAGCTGTTGTTAGGCAGCTAAATCGGATTAAAAATAGATAATATTTTTTTACTGATGGATCCACTGTCAGATCGCAGGTACGACGTTGACTGCTCCTCCTCGTCCCTTGTTCCTGGGATCTCCTGCTGTCTTAGTCCATCGCTTATAAATAAATACAATTGATTAGCTTATTAAATGATGATTAAATGCCTGCCATTTTTTATACGTTTATAAACTACAGAAAATATGTTAGAAAGATAAGAGATTGAATAATGTACATAAATGGAAATTCACACGTCACTGCCTTTCTCTTCTTTATTTTTTTTTTTAAATGACTATTTTACGGCTATGACCTCTGAGTTTCGTTGATATAATTTTTTAATTATTAATTAATTAAATTTATTCTTTGAATATATGCTCAATATTATATTATTTTATTTTATGTTATATTTTATATATTTTTTTTTTTTGTTGATTTATATAAATTTTATTTTTTATGTTTGCCATCGGGACTTTTCCGAAGACATAGATTGTATTATAATAAATGGATGATTTTTATTTTATTTTATTGTAATATATATAAATTTTTATATTGGATTAAATTAAGTGTAATAATGGAAATAAATTTTTTTATAAATATTATTGTTATTATATTTTAAAAATAAAAATTTTTTATTTAATTTTAAAGAATCACGTATCGGAAAATTTTTTAGATTTTTATAAAAAAATTTTTTTTAATAATTTTCATGAAAAAATTATTTATAATTATTATTGTTATAAAAATTAAAAAAAACTTAAAAAGTCTTAATTTTATTTTTATGAACTTTGTAAAAAAAAATTTTTCCCGCTTAAAAAAAAAAACAAAATTCACCTCGCAGCGCCACCTGTCACATAAACTAAGAACTTCTTCCAAGTTCAGTTTCGTCGCGTCGCACAAGTTCTCGACAAGTATATCTACCATACTAACCTCCTTATCGTCAACAAATAATAAATTTTCACACGCGTTTCTTCACTCCAATAAGATATTCAAACCCTGAAAAAAGGCCAAAAGGCAATTAACCTGAATATAAAATCAATGGAGATCTTTAAAAATTGACCTCAATGAACCCGTTTCCTTGAAACAAAAAAAAAAAAACAACTGATTTTTTATCAACTACAAAAGCAAGATCCACCTGGACAAACAACTCGCGAGCAACATTGACGTTAATTATTTATTTATCGACGCATTCGATTGAAAACTGATCTATCTAAGGTAGGTGACCTCAATAAGTTACATAACAGATTGGAAGTTGGATTGATAAACACAGTGAAGAAAGGAGAAAGCGGGTGGGGCTATGGGTGACTTGGAGCAGCGTCCTTGTAGATCGGTTAGTTCTAAGCGTATTCAGTTCCCATCATCCACATTTTTACGCTTTTATTATTTCTTCTTTTACAGATTCTTGTTGTTCTATTCTCCGTCGCCGCAGCCCACAAAAAAGAGCTTTGACGGTCTTTGTGGACCAGTCACACGTGCTTGCCGGTCAGTGACCCATTAATGCCTCTTTTTCTCTAATATTCTTTTGGACTGGAAACGATTCCGCTCCCTATTTAATTCTACGGCTTATTCTACGTCTCAACCTTAACCGGGATGTTTTAGTTGTTTGAGGGCTCCTACTATTACATACTAAACTTTATGTTGCTACAACTCCGACTCATACCTCGGCACACAATGCCAATGACTTACTCAAGGTCTCCTTTCATCAACACAATAATATTATTGATATTTCCTATTTCTTCTTTGTCCTACTAGCAGTGGGCTGTTGAAATTTCCCGTATAGTACGCATATGCGTACTTTATTTGCTAAGTAATCCATTTATCTGATTAGATTAAAACAAATAAAAATAAAATATAAGTACATATAAAAAAAGCCATATACGGGCTTATTTATTGACTTTTTTAAAAGCAAAATCACATAAATTCTTTATATTTTTAAATTTACATATTAAAAACTCCATATTATATATATATATAAGCATGTGTATGACGTTTTTTTTCTTCATTATGGCTCTGAAGAATTAAAAAATTTCACACGTTTTATTTACGTGATAAAAAAATTAAATTATTTTTATTATTCATTTGCAGGCGGGCTGATTTTATTATAAATTATAATACATGACACATACACAACTGCATCGTGAAAGTGACGAGAATATTCGAAAATTGACTCTCACACCCAAGACTTGACCTAAATATGTTTGGTTCACATGTTAAAAGTTTGTCTCTGCATGTATCTAACGCGGTCGATGTGTAAGGCGACCAACACAAGTAAGTACCTACGATAGAAACTTTTATTTCTAACTGGATAAATCTCAACCGACAAAAAAACCCAACTTGACTTTATTTTACCGATTACGTCATGAGTCATGGTGTTTATCAATAATAAAAATTCCGAAATAAATTAATGAGATATCTGATGATTTTAAATCTAGGAATATTATTATTGAATTTTTCGAGGCCGAAAAGTTGAATATTATTTTTTTAATATTAAATATTCTAATAATTAATGGTCATTAAAATTCACAAATAGATACAAGATTCTACTGAACTAATATTTATACTTGTGGATTTTGTAAGAAGGTATAATTCACTAGATTTTGAAATGATTAGTCAATTAAAATTAAAAATTGATTTATTAATTATAAAAAATTAATGAAAAATAAGTTAAAAATTTTTTAATTAAAAATATGTTTAAATATAAAAATTTTAAATTACTTTTTTTTTTTTTAATAATTTAATAATTTAAAATAAAAATAAAAACAAATTTTGATTTTTAAAATTTTAATCACTTGTAAAATTTCAATGGATTAAATTTTTTTATCAAAAGGAACTAAATCGACTACTAAATATAAAGTGCGATTTTACAATGGTATTCACAAAGATAACCACATCCGTAAACAGAGTAGTCAAGTCATTCATACATGTTATATATATCATGAATAAATATGTTTACGAATATACAATATAATAACCGTAGCGTGTTTTTCTGTGACCATACCACTTACGTAATAAATATCTCAGATATTTTTTCGAGAGATCCACGTAGGTCACAAATCGAAAACACATTTATTTGTAAACACATCAATTATAAATAAACGCTCGTTAATTTTATTGGGGTAAAAATAATTTAATTACACGCGCGATAAATAAATTAGATAGTTTTTTTGTTTGAAATAATTGGAGTATAAAAAATTCTTACCACAATAATTGACAATATAAATAAATATTTATAAAAATAATATGTATGTCATCAGTCATCAGATAATGCTGATAAGACTTCCGGTAGGTAAATACACAACTTGTTAGTAGTTGATCCGGGCTTAACATTAATTTTAAATTATAAATAAACGTCTTATTTAATATTTTTAAAACTTTATTTTTTGTCGAAAATTTTTAATCAAGTTCATTGCTCTTTTTAAAATGTTATTAAGTAATAATTAATTTTATTAAATAATTCTTTGGTAATTTTTTAATTACAAGGTCACTCTTTTTTTTAAATAAAAATTGAAGTCATCATCTTTAAATATTTTATTTTTTTGAATAATAATAATAAAAAATTTTTCAATTTAAAAATTTTTTATGTTATAAAAAAACATTCTATATTAAAAAAAAATGTTTATAATTTTTTTATCAAAAATATTATTCACAGAAAAATTCCATCTTTAATTGTTTGTTATTTTCGTTAAATTTCAAGTAAACAAAATTAATAATAATAATAATATTTAAAATTCTACGGAATTGAATTAATTATAAATTTATCGTAATGTTTTTAAGTTTAAATATGTAATTATTCCATAAGTTTAAAGTTTACTATACAGAGCATTGATAAAATAATAATTCACACTCAAAACATTAAAAAGATAACACATTGTTTTCATAAGTACCTTAAAATAATTATTTTTAAATTAACAATAAATTTTCCATCAATCTTTCAGTCAACCAGTTTAATTATAAAAAAAAAAAAATTTCTCGGATTTTTAAGAAATAAAAACCGACAATATGGCTTAAAAAAATTGTAAAAATTGAAAAATTCGGCACTGGAATATCTAAAAAATACTCAAGAAACTCTAAACTCAATAAAGCAAAAATAGCCGTAGCCTTTGGCATTTAAGTTTCAATACAACTCCGATTGCGAGTTCTAAGGTCGTTGCGGCATAGCTTAAAACAAGTCTCGTTGAGATTGGTCAAGGTACGACACCGCTCTAGACCGTTTTTCCCCACTACGCTCTATCTACCCCCACTAGACACTTACTAACTCAATCTCTCACTCCATTCTGCCGCGCATTATACTTACATACATCCATCTATCCGTACATACATTTATATACATACTGTTATACGTACTAATACATTATACCAACCATACAAATACACCCGCGTATCCCCAACTCGCGGCTGCGACCCCGACCCGTCATCTCTATTTCTAAATAAAACATCTATACTAGTGTTTTTACTCATACACCCACTGTACTCGTGTTTTCTATAATGTTTTATGATATATATTACCCCCTTCAATTTTCACCCTTATTCTTCTTCATTCTATTTTATTACAATTTTTTGTATTATTAAATCAAATAATTATTATAATTAAAATTATAAAAAATATTACAAGTAGAAAAATTAATTTTTCTATAAATTTTATATTAATAGTTGTGAAAAAAAAAAAATATTTTTTTTATTCCTTAAAATTATTTTTTAATTTTTTCTTTATTATTATTATTATTATTATCATTTTTGCAATAAATTAATTTTTTAAATATTTTTTCATGTTTTCTATAATAATAATAATAATAATAATAATAATAATAATAATAATAATAATGGCGTAAAATTTTATTATTATTAAAAATGTAAATAATAACAAAAAATAGCACGATTCTAATAAAATTGAATTTCTACTTCAACTTGTTCCCAATGAACTTATATCTTACCACGCGTGGCTTATTAACAATTAACATATGTACATGTATCATATATAATATAA